TCATCGATCTACTCTCTAGACACTCAGCCTGTCGAGGCCACTCCCAAACCGATCCCGGTGGTTGAGCCTGTGATCATTGAGAAGCGTGTCGAAGTTGAGCGTGAGCTTCCGATGCTGACTCTGTCGTCGATAGTCGCTCAGCAGACGGAACCTGTCCTGGCCACAACTGAGCGCAGCGTAGACCTGGAGCATGAATCTGTGGTGGAGTCAGCCAAAAAACCCGAGCTTCCGGAACTGGCTGCATCGTCAATTTTCTCACAACAGACCGAGCCTGTCCTGGCTGTTATGCAGCGATCGGCTGAGCCGGAATTGGCAGTTGCTCTGGAGCGAGATGCCGCTGAGCCCAAGCTTTTGGACTTGAATGTTTCTGTCATCTCATCGGAATGCACGGAACCAGCTGCACCACAGTTGCACGAGGTGCCGATCGCTCCAGCTTCTCAAATCTCACTGTCCGATGTGAGAGCGGTGGAAACGATTCCCGTCAAACATGTTCCGTCGGCAATTGTTGTGCCCCCGGTTCAGCTGACCCATGGAAACACGCCATCGGCGCATAGCATGCATATGGTCAAGGGTCTCCCTGCTTCTGAATTGCCATTGCTCGTTGTCAACGATGATGGTCCAGAAAAGAATGCGGCCAGTGGTACAAACGGAACGACGCCAGACCCCACTCTACCATTGAGTACAATTTCTGGCAATGCTGTCCCACGCCAGACAAGACAGCAATCAGTTGGTCGTGCGGAACGGGCTGACCAGGGAGCCCAAACAATCCTGTCGTCGAAGCAAATTGACCAGATTCTCATGGATCGTGTCACCACCCGGCCCCTATCTCCTCCGGACAGTGACAAGGCCAAGGAACAGAACACCTCACCATTTGCCACACCCCGAGCACGCACTCGTCCCACTCATCAGTCCTCTCAATCCTCCCTCCCATCCCACCAGCTCAGGCCGGGCAGTTCGCTTAGCCATACCTCAAGCATCCAGAGCCACCCACCTTTGCCTACTGACCACAAGGAGGCTATCATGGCGGCCGAGAAACGATCATTGGATCAGCAGCCATCTTCTCCAGCGTTGATGGGTCCGCCCCTTGCCCCAGCCTCCGCTCACCGAACCAATGTAGGCCAGCGCCCGCGGACTCCCAACGAGTCGGGTCTTCAGGTCAACTCGACGTCCACCACGACCTCTAGAGTCAAGTTGAGAAACGAGAGTAACAGCCACATCTCACGACGGTCGTCAGTCTCATCTTTCGCCTCTGAGATCGATGAGCGGTTCGCCGCGCAGCCTATTGGCCCTCAGGGTTATGCCGCTGGTACGGACCCGAGGATGATCCAGGCTATCACGCAAACGATGATTGGCGAGTTCCTCTGGAAGTACACTCGCAAGACTGTCACTGGAGAGGTTTCTAGCACCAGACATCGTCGCTACTTCTGGGTTCATCCCTATACCCGCACGTTGTATTGGAGTGCACAGGACCCCCAGACCGCCGGCACGCGTGAACTGAAGACGAAGAGTGTTCCCATCGAGGCTGTCAGGGTCGTTCCTGACGACAATCCTTACCCCCCTGGCCTCCACTGCAGGAGTCTGGAGGTGGTCAGCCCCGGTCGCCGGGTTCGATTCACAGCGACCACCAGTCAGCGACACGAGACCTGGTTCAATGCACTATCGTACCTCCTGCTGCGCAACTCGGCGGAGAATGGGGAAGAACAAGAGAGCAACGCTTCGTTGCAAGACATCGATGAGTTTAACCCGGAGTTCCACTCACGCTCCCGACAGACCTCAAGGCTCTCTTTCTCCTCTTCGCGCAGTCGCACTGCACGGAATTGGCCGAAGGAGCGAGCTGGCTCTACCATTTCATCGCGCCGGACACTGACGCCGGGTCGAGGCTCTCCTTCACTTGCTGCCCCAGCCCCGTTTACTGAGCAACGGAACGGTTCTAGCTCTCGTCTCAGCACGATCTTGAATACGACGATCAAGGGCTCATTTGGTCGTAAGGGTCCGCGCTATGCGAGCTCGAGCGTCCATGAAGGAAGCGTCCACACCCGTGACAGCCACGATGACTTTCGGCATACGATGGAGAGACAAGAAAGCCAAGGGGATCGACTTGAGAATGTCCGAGCTTGTTGCGATGGTATGTATTCTTGTAATTCTGTGGACGTCAATGATTCACCAGCTAACTTGCCTAGGCAAACACGATGTCAGCGCCTTGTCCAGGACTAGTAAATATAGCCCGCGCGTGAACCGCATCCATTCCCATCATTAAGTTCGAACTTCGGAATTTGAGCGTGTCTGTCTCTTGGCCGGGGCTCCATCGCCCCTGTCCTCCGTGGTTTTGTGCGTCTGCACGAGTCTCTTTGATTTGCATCACCGTTGTCTTCGCACTCGACAACATTGGGAGTAGTACTTGTCTGGAGTTTGAAATAAGTGCACACTGAGCGTCTGGAACCTTGCATACCAGTTTTCTGGCCCATTTCCCGTGTCATCCTCCACGTCTACCCGGGCCCATCTCATAACCCCCGAAGGAACAAAAACGAACACCCTCTTTGTCACTCCATCTATATTTACCTCTTTTTAATCCCTCTTTCGGGAAGGGCGCCTGCATTTGCCGCCCCATCCCCTTTCCCCCTCCTCCACTCTCGGTGCCCGGATGGCTTTGGATCTTCTTGTCATTCCTTTGCTGCCTTTTCTTTCTATTGCATGACTACTTACCACTTACTACAATTAGTACAACTACAACCTACATCTACAACTCTAGTGACAAATCTTCGATTTCTCTCTTATGTTGACAACCCTCCTTCTTGGCTGGCGACTTGACGCGGTCTGTTACATTCTTTTTGAGATTGTTTCTTGGGGACTTCCTTGGCTCAGGGTTATTTCAGTCGGACTAGGATATAACTTCAATTGATCTCTTGATTAATCGATGTATGACGCTACCTAGGTTGAGTTTGAGTCTACTTATGTGCAAACTTGCTGCAGAACCATATACAATCGGCTTTCGTATGTGTTCAACTGGGTCCCTGTAGTTGTCAGAATATCCCAGCCAGTCAGTGAATGGGATCGGGTCTGTGAGGACGTTCATGTGACAAGTATGTACGGCACATACTTCGTTTGCTTGAGATTGATTGTGTTCCAGTGCACAATCAAGCTCTCCCCGCCGGCAAGAACCTAATATGGTTCCTGATTGGTCGTAGCTAACCTCCCTACTCGCGTAGGAAATAGCTCTGAACTCAATTAGTAGGGAGGATTGGATAGTAAATCGTTGAGCTTCTGTTCATACGCGTATGAATAGGAACTCGGGGAGTTTGGGCGAGAGGTTTAGACGACTGGTTGAAGAATCCGTAAGTATAGAGCTTGTCTTGTCCTTGTTCGGATAAGGCTCATGTGTGAGCGTGTGTGTGTGTATGAGCGTGTGTGTGTGTGTGTGTGTGTGTATTAGCAAATTTATGTTTTCCTTTATCCTATAACACTCATGTGTTTACATATTTATGTGGGTAAGTATGTATATTTGCAAATATATATATATAATAACATAAAACGGGGTATCATATCATATCATAATCAGGCCACAGCAAGCAAACAAATCATCAAAGCACAGGTAGAGAATAAAAAACACCTGAGAAGAATACCCTTCGAAGTTCATCTCCCTCCGATGAAAAATATAGCATAGCATGTTGCCTCTCGGGTGGGTTCAATCAATCTCAGGGTAAGACTGGAAGAGAGACTATAATCATATACCACTCCACTCCCCCGCCTTCTGTAGCGGTGAGCCCCTCATTACTCTCATCGCACTCATCCTCCATTTGGAGAGTTAACTCTCGATTAGACAGGCTTCGCGCGCCCCGCAGGCCAGAACTCGAAGAGATCGAGCGCCTCGCGGGTCCAGGGCCCTTGGTCGGCCGGGTCGGGTTCGGGGATCGTGGGGAGGCGGGGTCCCGTCGTGCTGTGGAAGGAGAGGGACGCTGTGGTTGTGGTTCGGGTGGTTAGGGCCGTGGGGTCGGAGTAGGATTTGCGGAGGCCGCCGTGGGTTGGTGTCTGTTTGGTTGTGAGGGTGGGGTTTGGGGGTCGTGGTGGGGCGTTGATGAGGTCGTTTAGGATGTTTTGTGTTGAGGTTGAGGGGGTGAAGTCGTTCTTGGTTGTGGAGGAGGAGGAGGAGGAGGAGGAGGTGGTGGTGGAAGAGGGTTGTGCGGGGGGTGCGGGGGTTTTGTTGTTTCTGGGGGCTGCAGCTGCAGCTGGTGCTGGTGCTACTGAAGCTGCTGAAGCTGGTTTGTAGGCTTGTCCGCCGCCACCGGGGAGAAGAGCTGAGTACATCAGTTTCTTGCGGGGTTTACTGGTGGATAGGCGGAGGAGGGTTGGAGGGTCTTCTGGTTTTGCGGGGCGTGGTTGTGGGTGTGATGCAGGGTTGGTGGTTTCTTTGCGGGGTGGTTGTAGAGGATTGACGCTGTCCTTGCGAGACGGTGGTAGTGGTGAAGCGCTGGCGCTGTCTTTGCGAGATGGTTCTAGTGATGGTGAAGCGCTGGCGCTCTCTTTGCTCGGTGCGCTCTTCGTAGCAACGAACTGCGGCGCGCCTGCTCTGGAATCGGCCTTCTGATGTCTCGGATTGGGAGGCGTCGTCGACACCGGCGCAGCGGTAGACGGACCGGTCAAGTCGACCACCGCAGCTCGAGGCCGAGACTGGACCGGCTGAACCGGCTGCACACGGCGCGAGGGAGTCTGAGCCTGCCGGTGCAGCTGCTGCGCAGACAGTCTTCCCTCCTCCGCCGGGGGGCTTGACTTCAAACCGGCGATTCTCTGTCGTTTAGCAGCGGGCGCAGCCACCACCCGGTCTCCGAGAGACTGCCCATGCTTCAGCACCCCGATGCCAGTGCCGACCTCATTCCCATTCCCACTCCCACTCCCACTTTCAGTATTGATCCCCATCCCAATATCCCCAGGGACCCCCCTCCGAACCCCAAGCACCTCATTCAACGAACGCACCTGCGTCCCCCTTCCAGCCAACAACGACGGCGTAGCAGTACCAGTACCAGTAGCAAAAGACTGAGACCTCCAACTCGACGCAGGCGAAGCCGTGTACAGCGAAGACTGCGTTCCGGCACCGGCACCGGCACCCAGACCCGAACCCCCCGCCCCCCTTCCCCCGTGAGAACTCGAATTCAAAACAAATGAAACATCCGTCTCCGACCGCCCAACCGCCTCACAAACCTGCACCAACACCCCGCGATCGAGCTCCAGCTCGTCACCATCTTGAATCCCCACGTCATCCTGCCGCCAGTGCAGATCGCCGATGAAGTTCCCCGCGGTGTCGTAGGTCATCACCCGCTTGTTGAACGTGTGGTAGCGTACGTAGCCGTCCTGCCAGCGTTTGGCCTTCCGGCGCGTGTCGTGCGTGAAGAGGCAGCGGTGTTTGAGGACGGGGGCGGTGTTTTGGGTTGGTGGGGGGAGGAGGGGGTTGTTTTGGGTCGAAGTGGTTGGGGTGCCTGGGGTGTTGGTGGGCATTGTGGGCTGTGGTTTGGTTGTTATGGGCGTTGATGCGGGATTGGGATTTGGTGGTCGTTATCGGTGGTGTAGGGGCGCGGGGTTGTGGTCTGGTCGTGTGTGCTGCGCGATGGGCCCTTGTGGTCACCCTCCGCGGGACCATTGATTCTTTCTTTGCTTCGCGTCCGGGTATAGTGGATGGTAGGTGAAGGTAATGAATCGAGAAGGGTGGTGTGGTTGTTGAAGACAGACAGAAAGTTGGAGACGCGAGCGGAAAGCGGAGCGGAGGAAGATCTTGTGTTCCGTCCGAGCGGAAGACCAAGCTGCAGCCTCAGGCCGTCATCCCGCGTTCCGCACTTGCTACTACGGAGTACTACGCAACGTATCATGGAGATTGATACATTATACTATCCTGCCGTGCATCTATAATGAACTCTTGGGCTCTTGATTACTAACCTCGGTTCCAATCGATCACTCCACATAATTGGCCGGGAAACTCCCCTTCACCCCCCGCAACTCTCCCTCCCACCAATCATCCGTACTCTCCGTCTTCTTCAAAACACGGATCCGATCGCCCTCGCGGAACGACAAGTCCCCCTGCCCTTGGCCCCCGAAGTCATACAGCGCCGTCACGAACAGCGCGTTCTGGGAATGCGCTCGGGGCGGCGGAGGCGGAGGCGGCTTCTTCTTGCCCGCTAGCAGCGTACTCGCCCCAGGGGACACTGCTGGACGCGACGGCGAGGGAGATGGCTGTCGGTTGCTGCTGCTGGAGCGGTTGAAGTGGTTTGCACGGGAAGCAACGGACGAGAGACCGGGCGACATAGCTGCCGTCGCAGGGGATAAGGAAGAGGCGGCGGCCGCCGCCGCAGGAGACAAAGACTGATTCTGCGGATTACTGCTGGACCGACTGAAGTAATCTGCTCGAGCCGCGACGGACGAAATACCGGGGGACACCGCTGCAGCAGCGGAGGCAGGCGGCGGTGACGTATACTGATTATGGTTGCTGTTTCGACTGAAGTAGTCTGCTCGAGAAGCAACGGAGGAAAGTCCCGGGGACGGGGAGCGGATGTACTCGGTGGCGGAGACGTAGGATTCGCCTGCGGGGGACGAGGCGGAAGTCTGCGGTACTGGTGCTTGCGGGGAGAGATGATGACTCGAGCCCGACGGTAGGTTGAGAGACGACGTCGAGGCGGTAGACGGCATGCTCGATAGCTGTGGCTTCGGTCTGGGGATTGGTTTCGGCTTCGTTTCGAGGTTGGGTAGAGGCTTGGTATCGTAGACAGGTGGTGGTGGCACGGGAGGAAGCTTTTGCTGAGCTGCAGGGGGCGCCGGTGGTGGGAGCTTCCGCTGAACAGCTGCGGGATTGGGTGAAACTGGCCGTGGCGGCTTAGGGGGCGGAGTTTCTTCGTGAGCGCTAGGTGAGCGGCAGTAACTCGATATTAGGTTTGCAGGGCGACTGATGATACTATGGCCGTTGCGCTGGTGTTCGTCCACCGGAGACATCCGAACAGTCTTGCCATTGGCGATGCTGGCGAAGCTTTCGACTTCCTGCTGGACCGGGAGATGGGCGCGTTCCCAGTCTTCGACGATATGCTCCATGGGTGGGGCGGGGACCGGGAATTGTTCGTCCTGGCTGTACTCCATGACCACAGTGTAATAATGGGCTAGCATGGTGTTCTGGAGCTCGATCTGGGCGGCCAGAAGACGGGGGAGCAGAGAGAATGCGGCAGCGATGAGAGGCGGGAGACAGTGCCGGAGATGCTCGTCGGCAGCGTTATAGTCCTGCTTGCATTAGACACGCCACTTCAAGCCTTGCTGGGACCCTACCTCTGTCGCCTTGGCGAGGTCGCCCTCGGCCTTGACCAGGGCGGCATTGTCGCGATCCGACCGCTTGGTCTTCTTGGTGTAGTTATCCACGCGGCTCTGATGACGTTCATAGTCCAGCTGGAACGACGCAAATCAGCATAAGCAAGATAAACGCCACAACAAGACACACACACACACCTTACGATCGTCGCGCTTCTTGATGGTCTTCTTCATGGGAGTCAAGTACTCTCTGGCCTGGGTGGCTGGCTTGATCATGCGTTCGTCGACGGCGGTGATATCGGCCAATAACTCTCTCCGGAGCTCCTCATACTGGTCCCGAAGCTTATTTGTCCGAGCCAGGGTCTCGCGCGGAGTCAGGACTGCTTTGTTGTCGGTGGCAGAGTCGGAGGACCCGAGGATGGGAGCATAGAGAGCGTTGAATTCGGCCAGCATGCGATTCTGGTGGATCAGGAGGGAGGACCAGGCATCGCGCCATGCGCTGGTGAATTCGATGATCTGGGGTTTGGTGACGGCGGGTGGCCGAAAGTTAGTTGGAGGCTTCCAATGCGGGGAGAGCTCGCAATTCGGGCAGCGATTGTTGACATACTCGGCCAAGAAGCTTGTCGGCTTCCTCAAAGTCTTTGAGAAGAATGGCCACCTGGCTCTCATCGGCGGATCGCTTCATGAAGCGACCGAATTGTCTTTGCATGGACTGCATGGTGCCGCGTGGCCCCTCAAGGGGTCAAAAAGAGGGGAGGAGATGGAAGTGGAACGAGGGGAATGAAGGAGAGCGTCACCGACTGGCCATCCAGGCTGGCTGGTGGATAAGAACTGCAATAAGGATGAAAGTGAGGACGGAGTAAGGGGGGGAATTACTCTTCCTAAACATAAGCAGAAATGAAAAAGAGAACAAGCCAGCTAGACAAGAGACAGTTGAAGATGACGCATGGTTGTTGGTTGTTAGTGGTTAGTTGTTAGTTGTTGCTCCTCCTTTAGTTTATGTTTCAGCCTGCTAACTCTGGCCCGCCGCTAAACTACATTAATGATTCACTCTCTTTGACAAGACAACAACAACAACAACAACAGGAACTCCTGTACTCGAACACGAAGGACAGAAGAAGGGGATTATGACTGCTCTGTGACCCCATTGAATAACCACCACCAAGTTCATTACTCAGCCCTCTTAGCACTAATTACACTACCTATCCCTGTTCTCCCTAAGAAAAATGCATACATCTAAGAACGTGTTGCTAAGGTGCGCCTTGTTAACGTTGACAGCGACTCCCAAGCGTCTGGCAACCAAGCTAAAACCGCCAAGTCGTTTTGTCTGAGAGCCAAGAGCTCTAGATAAAAGCACCCACGCCACCATCACTGGCATCCGCATCAGGCTGGCGTCGCCGGCTTTCCAAAAACATCTCCACCATGCGCTTGCTCGAAATCGGGGAACGTGAGTTTAGCGACTGCGCATCCGAGCCTTTGATGTCGGGATACTCGCTCTCTACCTTCAGGTTTTCGTTGGTCAGTCGTCGGTTGTCGTGATACCCTCGAGCGGATCGGCTATGCAGGGACCGGGCATCTCGCGAGGCTGGGGGGCATCGAGCCGGGTGTCTGCCGTATGTTGCGCTCGCATTCTTCTGAGAAAAGCCACCAGCTTTGTCTCTTCTCGGGGTCGGCGACTCGGGCATGGGGAATCGATTTGACGAGAAGGATTGCATGGGTGGCGGTGCACAGCTCTGCGCGCGGGACCCAATTTGACTATGAAAGGTGCCATAGCCGTGCAAATTGGGGCGATTGTGTGGCGATGCCGGTCTGGGAGGCGGCGGTGGAGGCACTGGCCCGTCGAGCTGCTCTTTCTGGGTCGTCACAACGGTCCGGACGCTCGAGGATCGGCTGAACGGCCGCGAAAAGTTGCTGGTAGAAGTGACCTTGCGATTCGACCACATGTCGTCGTCGATAAAGACACGGCCATGGGAGTCCTCCCTCAACCGAGTGGGATCTTGGCAGACCAAATCGTTCTCGTCGCTTTGGATTTGCGCATGCTCGCGATAATGAGATTGGATAGGGGTGAGGTTCTCGATCTTTGCGATCTCTGTGTGCATCCATTGCTTCCAGTCCGCGCTTGGTCGGGCGGATGCTCGAGTCGGCTGAGTTCCCGATTCACGCTTTGGTGAGCCGTAAGTGGTTCTTTGCGTGTCGTAGATTGTAGCCGTTCCAGGTTCATCGGGAAGTTTCGAGCCAACCTCCCAGTCCTTGGTATCGGGATTGCCGCCGGTGGACCGAGAATACACACTGGACGAATTCGATACTGCGTCCGGACTTTGCCGGTCGGGAGTGCCTAGGCGTCGCGCGGGTACCTCTACGGGCTTTTTGACCATGGAAAGTCCCTTGTTACCAGGGATAAGAGAGGTGGTCGTCCGATACTTGTTGGCACATGGGGATTCCTGGAAGCACTGAGTCGGGGGTGGTGACTGCTGCTGAGGAGTCGCTGTACCGGCATTCGCAGTGATGAAGGACCGGGGCGAGGGAATGGATTCATCGCTGGGTATCAGACGGACAGCCTGTCCATTCTGCCGCACAGACACTGAAGCGGCAGGCGTTGGGATGATGCGATGCTCTTTGACATGGCCGATGGCGATATTCTCGCATCGGTCCAGTGCGCTGCTTTCGCCGATCCTTCTCATCAATGCGGAATACAAGCGTTGGCTGTCGACTTTGCTGTTCGGTCTCAGCGGGCTGCAATCGGGTATGGGACTGTTTCCATAGGGGCAATCCTCTGCTAAATTCTGATCCGAGTGGCCCTTCTCATCGATGACTGACAGGTGGCTTCGACCGCCGATGTTGCCGGTCACTACAGTATTTGCGGTCGTTGAGTCTGCCCAGCTTGTCACACGAGAACGACTCGTGGCCAAGCTCTCCGAGCTTTCAGCAATCCCAGCGGTAGGGTACTGCTTTGTGTGTACAATGGCTGCCGGACGGGATGTACCAGGGGTGTGAGGGCTGTACGCGGACCAGCTAGTATCCGGTTCGTTGGCATTTCCTCCTGTCTTGTCGTGGGATCCTTGGTTTTCATCATTACCGATAGATGGCTTTGAAAGGCCCAGGACCTTCTTGAAACCTTTCTTGATGGACGACGAGAAAGATCTTGATTTTCCATACGAGGAAGCGCTTTTTGTAGGTTGAGCGGAAGGCGTGCCTGCAGTACCAACTGCTGATATGGTCGGACGGAGCGTTTTTCTGAACGGTCTATGCTCTCGTCTTGTCTTGGGCACGGACAACCGCGACTGTTCTGGCTGAGGGGAGTTGTCGGCCGATTGCTGCTGAAACTGGGTGCGCGCCAGTTCGATCGCCGTATCATGACTTTGGACATGTCGTAGAGGCACAGCTGGCGGCTTCTCGCCCCGGAGAAAGGACATTGAACGCCGCAGGGTGCCATAGGTGCGAGCCGCACGCGGTGGTTGCTCTTTCTCAGCATTCGTAGCGTGGTTCAGTGGGGAGGACATTCCATGAGATGTGCGAGACGAACGCTGTCCGGTGGAGAACATCGACCGCGACTTGCGCAGACGTCTATAGGACGAAGGCAGGAAGAAGTCTTGGCTGTCGAATCCCTGAAACTCACTTATGGGAGGCAGAGCGGCGGACGCGTAGTCCTCATCTTGTGTGCTGGAATCGACAGTGGCTGAGCGGCGCGAGGACTCATCGTCGACGGGGACTTTGCGGGTGCTTGGCTGTGAGCCAGTATGTCGGTGTCTTCGAGGAGGCACAGCCATGTTTCCAGGGCCACCCAGCGCGTCATAGGAGCATTTGGAGCGCAGCATGGCGAGAGAGGCAGCGGTGGTGGCATGTTGCCGGGCGATCTCAGGGTCGGGGGTATCGCTGGACACGGAGCTGCGATGGCTTCTCCGGATGGAGCGCGCAGACTTAGATCCTCGCAAGCGGTCCATGGCTCTCAATGGAGCAGCATTCATATCACAATATTAAGCTGCAGGAGTACTTATGTCAGGGACATATGATAGAGTACTAATCGATATGTGAGGTGGAAGGATAACGTTCGGGGAACAGAGAATATACGCATGGGTTTCATTGTTGAGGAAGCGACTCGAAGTTTGGCAGGTGCTGTTCTTAGAGAAGGGTTGAGGTTGATTGTGCCTTCCTCGGACATTGTTCATGCTATCTCAACTGGGTAGCAGCGGATAGCCTCATTGTAGGTCTATGTCGCTAACGCATCAGCAAGTGGTGTCGGAGTCACTGCTTTATACTCTCCTAACCAGTGAGTAGATTGTGTCGCAGACAAACTGTTTTGCATTCATTTGCACGATGGTCACTCATTCTGAATTCTGAAAGAGAATATGATGCCCTAGCAGAAGCTCGTGATATTATGATAGCTGGTAGTTTTGCTCTCAGCAAGACTAGTAATACCATACAAAGCATAGTCAATCCATTCAAGTTGTCAACAATATATCATCAAACGAACCATCCAAGTCAGCTTATCTGATCAGCACATAAACCAACCATCAAGAAATTACCCATCCGTTACCAGATAAGGAACCATCCCGGATGCTGCAGCCCCTATACTCTACTAGATAGTATCCAGCACGCATAATCAGATCCTCCTCCCGTCCTCGACCGGTCTCGACCTCTCACATGATAATAACACCGTCAACTAACCAACACTGCATCGCATTGACATTACCATTCCTGTCCCAGTCAACCTGAACTTGAACCATCAAACCCCGACAGGACCTTTAAGCACCGGTTATAGTCAGCTCCAACCACATATCACCCACACAACAAAAATCAATCTGCCCGCACCGGCGCCGGAATACTCAAACCAGCGAACCCGAGCATCTTCCCAATTGACTAAGTAATCCAAAAGCATAGTCTCCATCCCGTCTTATCCAGCCTTATCTACGCTATAACACGCACTTAACACTAATTCTAGACGCATCCATCCAAGCCCACTTGTGCAGAGCACATGGTGCATTACCGGTCCAACGCGGAGCAGATCATCTGCAGCCACGCTGGAGCCTGATACTTCACAGTGTCATTGCCAGCTCGCCAGTTGGCCAGTCCACCAGTCAGCTGTCACCGAAACACCGCATCGGGAGCGAGGTCTAGACCAACGATGATCAGACATACTACCCAGCCACTATCATACTAACCAACAGAGGGAAGTTCACCCACCCGCACGCCAACAACCACAAGCCGTCAGTCTAGTAGGTAGCAGTCAGCAGCACTAGCCCAGAAGAGCAAAGTAGATGCAGTGACGGCACTGTCTCGCCGGAGGACCGTATAGTACCTTGGGTGATGTGCGTGGGTGGCTGCAGCCGTTTTGCATTGTAGAGTAATTTCATTCCATGCAATTAGCGGTAGCGGAGGTCTAAGTCCGGGATAGTCTTTCGGATTGGGAAGTAGGTGGCGTTTGAGGTTCACTGGCTGTCTTCTCATTCGGTCATGATTAATCGGTCGTGACTTGACCTCACTACCGGAGTGAGGAGGTAAGCTGGAATACCCCGCATCTCCATAATGTATATACATACATTATAGCGTCCAGACCGAGGCAAGGAAGCAAGAGTAGTACCTCACTCTCCCGCCACTGTCTATCTAATCCCCACCGAAAAAGAAAGTATTAGACATCATCATCATCACACCACATTAGCCAAACCGTGACGTCTACTCGCACCGGATACACGAGCGGGGTGAGGGGAGGGGACGGGACCGACCCGGGTAGCAGATGCGGATCAGCCAACTATTTACAAATGCGGGAGGGTTGGGCCGATGGGAACAGTTTCCTGCTATCTTCTATGGACTACGTTCCCTTCTCTTGTCACTCTACGACCGGTTGGTTGTGTTACATTGTGGACTGACCCGGCAGTTCCTTCGTGCACTAAGGAAAGAGGAGAATAAGTCGGTCAGTAGTGAGGAATGACGCTATGCCAAGGCCACCAGCCCCAACCCCGGTCGACTTTTGTCCGAACAGCTAGCTAGTTATATGTTGCTGACGCTCACGGACTTAGTCTAGCACATCATCATTAGGCAGTGCTGAAGATACTACTAGAGGTAGGTACGTAGAGTAAAGTCGATGTAAAACGTCTTCGTCTTTCCCTCCTCGGAAGACAACGCAACTAGCTGCAACGGTCCGGGTAATGCCGAGCGGGGAGGAGGGGGAGAAGAGGAGGTCACAGGTGCGCACGCACGGTGAATGACGGATGACGGATGATAACTAGAGAAAGGTAGGTAAGACGCACGGATGGCCCTCGGGACTAGACTATCCTATCCTGGTGTTTGTTCTTGACCCGTGAGGGTCACATGGACTGCCGGGTGAAAAGGTACTGTCCAGTCCAGTCCAGTCAATCGTGCCGCTGGTGGTGATATGCACTGGCATCACCGACAGACGAGATCAGCTGGTCAAAAGGTGAGCAAAACAGGGTTGGAGGGCTGATCCCGACGCGGTCATCGGGAGATCTCTCGGTCTAGCCTGGTGAAATTGTGTTGGTGTTACCATACATCTGCTCACTCCCTGTTACTACTAGCAAGTTGGGCAGTTCGTTACTATGAGGTGCATCTCAGAATTATCTTTCTTCTCTGTTCAATACTTCATTGCTCACAAATCATTCATCAAGAAAAAAAAAAAAAATGGAAATAGGGTATATTCAAGTATGACAAATAAGGTAAAAGAAACATAAGACAGAAAAAAAAGGTACCTTGGATCGTACAGGTAGGCCGAATTGGGTATGGGTAAATCGACCAACGCAGATTACAACAAAGAAAAAAGCAACCGGACATGACAAAGAGAAGGATTACAAGACAGTGTCGGGACCAAGCGCGATGATGAACCACGCACATCGGGATGAGGGGGTAAAAAGAGGAAGGGGATGTGAAGGAAAGTAAGAAGAGAAAGAAAAAGACAAGAGAAGAAAAGAAAAAAGCATTCCACCTGCGCCCACTGCCCGCCCGCAGCAGAGTTTCCCAGTTGCGCACGCGGGAGGTATTTCCTTGCGCCGTCCCGGAAATGACTGACCGTCGTCAAGAGCGAAGAGTGAAGTGAATTGCTCTTGCGTTGCGTATCTTGCGGTCGTCCTCGCCGGATTCCCAAATCACAGTCAACCCGCATAAACCCATCCAGTAAAGCAATTCCAAAACCCCAGTAGACCCAATGCTGTAACCCAGAATGACCCCATGCGAAACACAATTAACAAAGAGTCATGTCACAGAGGTGCACCAGCGCATTCCGAGTCGGATGGCCCCGTCGGAAAAGTCGCGAGGAGATGTGGGTGCGTGAGAGCGAGCGCAGAGGAAAATAAGAAGTGTCCGATCGCTGCAATCGGTGGGACATCCGACAAAACCGCCCTCGCAGTGCTATCAACCCGATGATGATGATCGATCATAACTCCCAGAAATGCATTCCAGTTCCGAGCATCAACCCACACATGATAGAGAGGAAAAAGAGAGCGAAGAAAAGGTGGGCGAGAAGGGCACAAGGGCCTCCGGGATCGGTCCCAGCCGGCAGGACCCCTGCAAATCAGTCGATAGAAATCCGGGAATTCACCGTTGCGCCCTGCTCGTCGCCATGTTGCCGTCAGGTCAGGTCGTTCATCATGCGCAGCGGTCGATGATCTCCTTGTATGGTGAGTCATTCAGGATCTCGGACGGCAGGGCTCGACGGTAATCTCTGGGTTGGGCAAAGGGAGAGGTCGAGCGAGGGTGACGGAGCTTCAATTGCTGTGACCCTCATCGTCAGTATAAGGTAGGAAGTAAGCTTCCGCGGGACGAACATACCACACAGTCGGGGCATTTGCCGCCATTAATGTTAACACGGCCACGGCAGCCACGAGGATAGTTGGCACAGGAGAACATGGTGAGTGAATGTGGTCGAGAGGTGAGGATATTATCCTGAAAGCGGGTGTTGGTATTGGTGTAGGTGTTGGTGTTGCTGGATAGTGGTCACGATCGACTGGGAAGTTTGGAGCTGAATGAATCCCGTCAAGGGAGCTTTTCTAGGGCTGGGGGGGATTTGGTGACTTCGAGGCGGAACCAGGCCAAGTTAAAAGGAAACCCCAGAAAAAAAAAATTCCAGAAGATCCGAAAAAAAAAAATTGTCAAAAAAAGTAAGGGCCGTTATAGACAATAATAATAAATGTTAGGACCCAAAGGAAATTAGCCCCAATTCCACGCCACGGGGCAATTACGTCAAGATCGCAAGGCCGTTGTCCTGCAGCGAGCCAGCGACACCAGCAAGGGGGGTTCAGTGGACAGAGTGGGAGTGGAAAAAGGAATCGCAGGCGCCGCGCCGGGGTCCGTTGAGGTTCTAGCGCTGAGGTTGGGCTGCGCCACTAAAGTGGGTGGTGGTGGTGGTGGGATGGGGCGAAGAGAGACAAAAAAATAAAAATAAGCCCAGATAAAAATGGAAAAAAAAAGGGAAAGTGAAGACAGTCTCAAAATGCTACCGTAAAGGAATGAAGGAAGGGATGAAAGAAGGAGACCAAAATTGAACGATCAACGATCAATAATTATCACACTGAAGAACTTGTTGATTCGATGTGAGGAATCTCCGTGAAAAGGGACCAGACCACAATGGAAGGAGATAAGGAGAACTGAGGAACTTCAAGTTAGAAAATAGAGGGGAAAAAAAGGTAGCAAATTGTAAAGATAGGGATCTCAGCGGTTTATATCCGTCCTTGATGGAGAAACGGGAGATCTAGTTAAGTTAGTCGGACTGAGACTAGTAGTCACTGTGTCAAGATGCGAAACGAGCTCGAGAGTTTAGGTTTTTTTTTTTTGAAAGGGAAATAGATGGGGAAAAGGGCAGTCTCGTCGTACGGTTAGGCATTAATGACAATCAAATCACCGCACTTGCAACAATATAAAGCATGCTTTGCGAATGGTCGTCGCAGTACGTCCATTACGGCCCAGGATATTAATTTTGGGTTCCATGCCATCTAACGGGCCACGGGACGGGGGGCCTTGGATGGAGCCTAGAGTGTATAGAATATTATTCTGATGCAGTCAGTTGTCGAATGAGAGGCACAGCTTGCACTACCCTACGAGTCGACGGGTGCAATGACTGCTTGGTACCTGAAATGGTGCCGGTGACAAGTGTGGCGAGGGGAAGTCGCAGCAGGCAAATCACGGTTGACCCACGACGGACTACCCTCTGGAGCATTCGTAACAATCCTTCGCTTGAGATCCTGGGCATCACTGATGGGATCATTGGTTGTAGTGGCCAGCCAGAGTCTCGACAGTGGATTCCGTGTTTCTCGGCTGGTTGTTCGACAACGATCCAGAAGGGAGGAGGGGTTCGAAGGGAAAAAGAGTGGTAGGTAGAGAGAGGGGGGGCGGGAAAGAAGTGCAGAGAAAAATATGTATTAAGATTACTTATGTTCTTTCCCCCAAGGAGATTTCAGACGTGCCTCACATTCTGCCCCCATGTAACAGCTTTCAATTGCTGTTGGAAGGATAATGACTCGCAGGTTTTGGCCCCTGACTGACCTGACTGACCTGACTTGAGTTGACTTGACTTACTTGACTAGACTACTACTGACTGGGAAAAGGGACAAGACATGGAATTGGAACTAGAAGGGAACAAACATGATTGCAGGGCGGCGTGGGCCCTGTCAGGACAGCAATTTCTGTTCGTTTCCTTTTCACAACTTAATCTTTTGCAACAAGGCCTTGCTGGCGAAGTCGATAAAATCAAGATAATCTTGACAAAGTAAGCGAATAAGCAATAAGCATAGTAATTGGATGACTGGCATCTCCCAGCGGCAATGCATCGTCGTCAAGCAGTTTCGGATTGATGAGGGTTAATAGAGCCGTAGCTTCAGAGTCTGGATCTTGGGCCGAACTGTCGCACCAAGGTCGAAGTTTCCACAGTTTCTGGAACGTCGACTAAGCTTCCAAGTTCCCTTTCTCCTTTTTCTTTTTCGATTTTTTTCTTCTCTTTTTTTTTCTGGCTGCAGGCTGTTCTCCCCCCTTACCCGTTTGGTGCCTCCCATTTTTGCCCCCTTCGGTCTAGTCCCCTTGGCCGGGGGTTGCATGTCTGGTCAATCAGCATAAGGTCGGCTGTCGGAAAACACGGATTGTCAATCCAATGATCCATAGATAATCCATTGACGAGGCGATTGACGGTGCGGTCTTTGTCGATGATCCCTGCATGGCATTAATGACCATGACTTCTGGTTGAGCGAGTCAGAGGCCGAGTAGATGACAGAGAGACCCCGAGCTTTGTCCTTTCATCAATGAATCGGACCATCACATCGGTAGATCCTCGCTCCTTCGGTCTTTCCGTTGGGCGGAGAAATAGGCCAAGCTGGTAGGCACCAGGCAGACTGTATCTATGCTGACAATCATTTATCATTTTTTTTCTCGTTCATCTCCTTCGTGTACCGACCGTGAGTAACCGCGGTGCCGGTGGTGAGAGCCGGGGTTGGCAAAGTGGAGAGGGCAGAGCAGAGAGAGAGAGACGAGAGCGAAGGAGAGAAAGATTAAGAGAGCTGGAACAGTCAGCATCCGCCGCCGCCATCACTACTGCAAGTCTGCAAGTCTGTAAGTCGTAAAGCCGTCATCGCTCGATAATCCTTGTCGGTTGGCATCTGACTGCAGGACTACCTGAGGCTAATAGTCCATAAGCCTCCAAGCCTCCCAAGCCTCGCCGTAAAGTGTTAGACGAGAGTGCAGGGATTATGGTGCGACTGATTGGTTGACTCGGCCTGAGCCTCATCCATTTTCCGAGGCAGCCTACAATAATAAACCTTGAACCGTCCTGACTGTATCTACATGGATGACACCTGGACATTCCGGTTAAAAAAAAGGCCCAGAACATCGGCGAAATACGTCGGTGGAAAGACGAGCGGTCACTTGACCAGCTTGATCATGTGCCCAGAGACAGATAGACCGATAGACCGACACTGTTCCATGGATGGAAGTTTTTCTGTGTAGTGCTACAGTGCGACGGTGCTACAGTCCCTGGACGGTGATGGCAGTCCATGCTTCGGCTGGCTGGATGTCACAATCACAATCCCTCATTCTCCAGCAGTTTCAACCCGCTCGTTCCAGAACAATTTCGAGCCCAGTAGACAACCGGAACATGCCTGGCCACATCATCCCGGCATTCCACATCACCTTCTCTCCCTTCTAAGCTCCCAGCAATTCGGCAAGTCTAACTAGTAAGTAATTAACCATCGTCAGACAAGACAAGGGTCAGCCAGATCCGTCAGGGTATCTACATTGCTATCATCTTTTGCCCGGCCAGCTGTCACCCACCAAGAATATTTCTTTCTTTTTTTTGCCGGGATCGCCGTCGTATGATGGAATGAATCTCCATTGATCATTAATCTCAATCAAATCAAATCAAAATCAAATCAATCGATCGCTTAGGGCTGTCGCTCATCCACGGACACACCGCACTGCTGAGGGAAATGAAAGAATTCGGGCTAATTAATCTCGTCACCACACCGGACCGGTTCATTAAAACTTCCCTTCTAGGATAATGCAGTTAAATACTTCCTTACGATAATGTCTGCTGCTCAATCGGTATAACCAACTGAGAGCCCTGAAGCTCTCTCTCTTCTTTCTCTCTTTACAGTGGTTTCACCAGCGAGGTAAGAGCGGGGCCCCCTTTCAGTGGACAGCAAAAGGCAGACAGACAATCTGCCCGACAGACCCTTTCACCACTCACACTCACTCAGTCCCTTTGTTGTCGGCTCCATATTTTTGTCCCTTGTCGAAGTCTCTAGTCTATGCTCTTATCGTCTGTCTGTACATTGCTGCCTATAATCACCTTCACCTCCGAATGAAGGGAGGGAACCAAGAAGGATGAGGCAGAGCATGTGCATGCTCCCGGACATCACACCAGAAAGTTTGCTTATTCTTTCATATGGAAGTATACGAACAAACAGAAAAGGACCATTCGTAAAAAAGGAGGGAGGGTCGAGCTTCTCGAAATTTCGCGAGGTCCCTCTATACTGGGTCCAGGTATCCACTTCCTCTTGCTCTTTTCTCCATCGTCGAGGCTAAGATTCAGCCCGTCAAATCTCCCGACTTCTCTAACCCCGGCCGAACTTTTTGTTTCTCCCCCTCCTTCTGTAACTACTTACGGTTCCGCTCTGCTGTCTCGCTATTTTTCACCTCCTTTCCGTTGGATGGTCATGTGATGCTTATAGTAGCTAGCTATTTACATACATGTTGATGATGACTAAGTGTCATTCCTGGAATTTCAGGTTCTGGTCGGTGAACGGGATAATGAGGCTGTCCAACACGAGAAAACAGTTTCTCTCTCCTGGTCTGTTTGAGCCGCTATCATTGGAACCAATCCTTGTCGTTGCTGCTGCTGCTGCTGCTGCTGCTGCTGCTTCTTCTTCATGCAATGCCGCGTCCTTCGCAACGGTTCGCGGTCCGCCCGGTCTAGATTAACTGCCTGTTCACCTGACCTACTATAACCATTGACTAGTAGGGTATACTTCTAGCCTAGAAGCTATCACTCCTTCTAGTCCCAATGCAGGTGGGAAAGGTGCATGACCGGTCTATTCGATCGCCATGGGTGTGCGCGACATTGGCGATCCGCTCCCGGCCACTGCTCGGTCGGCCAAAGGAACGGTCTCGTGTTGCGGGCAACAACTGAGACTCGCGAGCGAAAAATAGGTCGGAAAATTGCCGGTCGCTGAGTCCACTGTTTGAACGTGAAACCTGACCGAACGAACGGCCGCGGGGTTCGAGGACAAACACGGAAACAAACAACCACACCAGTTCGTGTCGGCAAATATTTACCATCTGGCTGGATCGAAGATCAAACCGATCGCCATGGGGCAGGCTCCGCGCAGGAGGGTTCTCCTGGAGTCGCGTCGCAGGTTCCGGTGGGCGGCGGCGGCGACGCCTCGTCAGGCGTTCAACAGTGAGCGAAGCACGAGCCATGCACCTAGAAGCCCAACCACCGTGGCCACCAACACCCCGTTGCCCTCCCAGGTCAGCCCGAGATACGCGACACAGCCCACTACAAGCTCTTTTCTCCGCGCCGTATCTCGTCTACGCGCCCAGTCCGGGTCGATCGGGAACGGGGCCGCCGGTAGTTGGGCCAGCGCATCTGCTCGTCGCATTGACCGGGCCGGGACGGAGACCGCCAGGGCGACGGCACGATGGTCAGAGGTTGGAAACAACGGCAGCGCGTCGTACTTCAACGGCCGGACGGGCTGCCCGGGCTGGTCCAGGTACAGCACACGGTCACACCAGCTGGGCCAGCGGGTCCCCGTCCACTGCCAGTCCTGCGACAATGCGTGCTCGCCCAGCGCCTGACTTACGGCGTGACGTGCCGCCAGGCTGTACTTGTACGTCGGAGGGAAGGTGATCGGTGCCTCCGACAGGCCCTGAAAGCATCGCGACTGGCTCATTTCCCGACGCAGCTGATCCTCCTTGAGCAGCTGCGAGTAATGGCGCGGGTCGGACGTCTCTACGTTCACCCGGGGGAATCTGCTCGTCCGATCGCCTGGATGCGGCGATCTGTCGGCCGTGCGATAATTGAGGTCCCCTGCCAGAAAGAGGTAGCTCGTAGGGACGTAGATGCCCCGGCCCTCGCGCTGTTGCCCGACCGGTGAAGCCGTTGTAGACTCCTGTAACAGGGGCGCACTCTCCGATCCATCCTCATCTGTCTCGACAGGCCTCCGGCCCGCCGCTGCTGCAGCACCAGCATCGCCCGCGACTCGACCGTCCTGACGCTCAAAGACCAGCCGTTCAACCAAGCTGCGCCAATCCGCATTTCTGCGCTCCACCGCCCACTCCATCGGGGCGAGATGCGCCGCCACAAAGGTCAGCTCTACGGGATGTTGTGATCCTTCTCCTCCCTCTCTTTCTTGGCTTCCCCCTCGGGCAGATGGCACCCTGCACCCGAGTCGCGCCCCCACGGCACCTTTGTTCCCCATCTCCTGGAACCCAAAGCCAATCCGCGCCGTCTCAAGCCAGGCGATCTCCTCTGCCACGTCCGACCGGGCAAATACCATCAACCCGGTCATCCCGGAGTTGTCCGTCACGAGATTGACGTAATGGACATCATCTCCCCAGCGTTCGGCGACCGCGCGGTCCACGACGTTGCTCAATGCGGCGAAGTACGGTGTCAGAAACGAGCCTCCCAGGAAGGCGTACGCGATCGGGGCGATTTCTTGGAGCGAGAGCACGATGAAGTCGGGAGGAGGTGGTGGAGGATGCGACGGGGAGGTGTTGCTGGAATTGTCGGTGACGGGCAGGGAGTCGAAGAAGTGGTGGGCGAACCGGTCCACGTCCACCAGGTTTCGGGCGCAATTGAAGGTGAGGATGTAGAGGTTGAGTGTGTCCATGATGAGTGGTCTGAGTGTGCTGCTGGTGCTATGGAAGAAGTGTGAAATGGATAGCGAGGGTCGTGATGGAGGGATTTCTGAGGAGTGAGGGACAGGCGGAGAATCAAGTTGCAGCTGTGAGCTGGAGCTGGGTTTGGCGCATGTGACGATTTGGAGGGATAGTGTGGGTGGAGCCGTCAGCGGCAGATGAGGTCATGCCCCCTTCCACTCACTCTTCCACTCTCCCACTTTGTTTACACTATCATCCCAGACAAATACACACTCCTTCTGACTTGCTTCCTCCATCACGGTCTCAAAGACACACCGCAGTTCGGATTAGGTGCTGACGAACGTGGCTTCATTCCATTTCTGACATGAAAACACCATCCTCGGACCACCACCCTCTCTTCTGGATCAGTCCCGCTTGAAAGGCACGTAGATCTGCTATATTTATCACATTGTCCCACAATCTGGACGATGCAAGGAACCAGGCACAAATATGTGAAAAAGGTACGTGGCAGTCTGCAAGGCCGAGCTCTAGAACTCTTCTAGACTCTTCCGACTCGATGGCGCGCAGAATGTCCCGGTCTGGAATGTGGGCTTCTCTCAGATAGTCTACTAACAAGCAATTGCTATCGCGAATCTTCGCACGTCCCTGTTCATCCATACGGGGGGCCGCGAAATTACAATTTCCCTTTCAGCTCGTCCTCCAGCTCAACCAGCAACATGCCTTCCCCGACCTCGTCTTCGTCATCTGCCAGCTCATACACCCATTGCGCACGGCCGGCGCGCGGGCTCCGGATCTCCACCTCCATCTTCATCTGCTTGACAAATGCGACTACCTGGTCTTTGGCGATCAGATCGCCCGTCGCAACGAGGATCTCGATTAGCTTCCCGGATAGTGGGAGGACGATGTGTCGCGGGTTGCGGATGTCGCCACGTCTTTGTGTCGATGAGACCAAGGCCGACGCGGCTGTCGCGGTGGCCGCGAGCTCGAGCCGATATGCTGCTGAAGACGTGGACGTTGTGTACTCGACTTCCGCTGCCAAGGACGTGGGGAAGTCGTTGCGGAGTACGCGCGTCAACCGGAGGTGGTGACGCTCGCTGGCTTCTGGTTGCGGCTGGTTGGAGCTCAGAGGCTCGAGGATGACCGACCATGCGTCGCCCCCGCGAAAGAGTGGGCTTGACGCTGAGATGTTTGCAAGCGATGTGAAGCTAGCCGTTGATGGGGTTTGTTTATGGACGCCCGGTTTTGTGCCCGCTTCCATCTGAAGCACCTCTGTCAGATGCGACTCTAGCCATTGATTGTCGATGTTGCCTGAGAGGAAGTCTCGGTGGCTCGTGATCCCTCGCAGCAGATCCAGATTGGTGCGAACGCCGTCGACCTGTGTGTCCGCCAGTACCCGACGGGCTTTGAGCACCGTGGTCTCCCAACTTGATGCGGTCACGATGATCTTGGCCAGTAGATTATCGAATTGGGTGCCGACTATCGCAGAGCTGTTGCCGGTCGAGTCCAGGTGGGTGTCGATTCGGACCCCGATGCCACCAGGACACATGAATCTCGTCACTTTGCCTGTGCTGAGTGAGAAGCGGTCCTCGGGGTTCTCGGCGCACAACCGTAGTTGCACGGCATATAAGCGAGATGAACATAATGCTTCAGGTCTCATGCCGACCTGGGCAAGTGTATGCCCTTGCGCTAGTCGCAGCTGAGTCTGTACGAGGTCGATCCCATAGATTGCCTCGGTGATCGTATGCTCGACCTGTAGACGGGGATTGATTTCAAGAAAGTAGAATTGGCCTTGATGCTCATTAACCAAGAATTCAACGGTGCCGAGTGAACAGTACCGAATAGTTTTCGCCATGCTCAATGCCGCATTCAGCACCTTGTTCACAAGAGTACGGTCGTGAATCAGAGACGGAGCCATCTCGACTACCTTCTGGAAGCGTCGCTGCACGCTGCAGTCGCGCTCTCCGAGCTGGCAAACATTGGACCCATCGCCGACTATCTGCACTTCCACGTGGCGGAAGCCATCTACTGCGGCTTTCTCCACGAATACCGTCCGCGATGGCGACTCTGCGGTGGCCGCGTGAACCGCACGCTCTAGCTCCTCGTCCTTATGGACTAGACGGATACCTCGTCCCCCACCGCCATCTACTGCTTTGACCATCACGGGATACTGGACTTTCTGTGCGAAGTCCCGAATCAAGTGGATGTCCGCCGTTGGACGCGACGTGGCTGGCAAGGCAGGGACGCCGCACTCAATGGCCAGCTGCTTTGCTCGGAGCTTGTCGCCAGTCCGCTCCAGCGTCTTCCATCCTGGACCGACCACCGTAATTCCAGCATCGTGCATGCGACGCGCGAAGTCGGCGCTCTCGCTCAGGAATCCGTACCCTGGATGCACGGCTTCTATGCCATGCTCTTTCGTCAAGCGAATCAGGAGGGAGATGTCCAGATACGCTGCGGATGATTCGACCGATATCGCTTGATCGGGACGGCCCAGATCGCAGTGTGAGCGATCATTCTCTGTGTAGATGGCATACACCTGGATCGGTGGTGATAGTTCACGGGCCGCTTGGATGATGCGCACGGCTATCTCGCCTCTGTTTCGTCAGTGATCTGGCCTATTGTACTGAGATGCAAGAATACCTGTTTGCGACTAGTAGCCGCGTGAATGGTCGAGGCGACGACATTGTGAATAGGTAAGTCTGTTTCCGACATGGTTCCAGCGATGATCGTTTATGTTGATGCAGCTCACCCTCGGACCTCGGAGCCGATTCCAGTTACCCCTCACCGCCAGACCGGCGATCAACATCGTAATGGTATAGAATACAGCGACCAAAACCAGAAGTACTCTCATTTGATAATTCAGAATGCCAGACGACAGCAATGACAACGACACGAAAGATACTCGACAATCCTCGTCGTCCGCTTCGCAGCGCTTACGCCAGGTCGCATCGCATCTTCCAGCCGACTACTCGGATGTGCTTGCTCAGATCGATACCCTCCGCGCAATAGCGGCCACGCCGGATACATCCCGACGAGGGTATATCCGCCAGAAGCAGGCCGGCAAACTATGGGTACGCGAGCGATTGGAGGCCCTCCTCGATCCCGGCAGTTTTCAAGAGATAGGGTCTCTGTCAGGCACAGTAACGTGGGAGCAAACGGGACCAATGCGCGAGAAGCCCGTGGCGTTTGTGCCGAGTAACAATGTCCAAGGAATGGGGCGGCTGCGTGGTCGCCGTGTGCTTTTAACGGCGGACGACTTCACTCTCCGTAGCGGGCATGCGGATGGCGCGTCGCACGAGAAGACCATCTACCTTGAAAAGCTGGCACTTGCGCTGAAGCTGCCGATGGTGAAGCTGGTTGACGGGAGCTCCGGCGGAGGAAGCGTCACGCTTATTCGAACGGCGGGGTGGAGTTACTTGCCTTATGTGTCGATGTATAAGTATGTTGTGGAGCAGCTGAATCAGGGGATTCCGAACCTGGGCGCGGTTGTTGGTCCTGCTGTAGGTTCTCCAGAGGATCCGGTGGGCAAGAAAGACTGCGCTAACGAGGTGCACAGATTGGTCTAGGGGCTGCGCGGGTTGTATCCTGTCATTTTTCCGTTATGGCCGCAGACGTAGGCTCTCTCTTCAACGCAGGTCCGGAGGTAGTCAAGGGCGCGACGTTTGAGGAAGGACTCGATTTTCAGACACTGGGCGGTCCCATGGTGCACTGTACGAATGGCACCATCGACAACATCGCCGCCAATGAAGCGGAATGCTACAAGCAGCTACGCACCGTCCTAAGCTTTCTGCCCAACTCCGGCCGCGAGGCGCCACCGGTCATCAAATCCGAGGACCCCGAAGACCGGGAAGACGAGGCCCTGCGCCGGATCATCCCTCGCCGTCAGACACGCATGTACAATCCCTGGACGATCATTACCAGTGTGGTGGATCGCGGCTCCTGGTTCGAGATCGGACCCCTCTGGGGCCGCACGGCGATCGGAGGACTGGCGCGGCTGGGCGGGCATCCGGTGGGGGTGATCTCGCTGAATTGCGAAGTCAACGGAGGCGCCTTAGATGCAGCGGGGAGCCAGAAGCTGACGCGCTTGTTGAAGCTGTGCGATGTGATGAATCTGCCGGTTCTGCAGTTCATCGATGTCCGTGAGTATTTCGTACCCATACCTCTCGTGCTACCGCACCATGTCTCTTAGAGTGAATGACACCTGACACACTACGAAAAAAGCCGGCTACGCAATCGGCACGGTAGCCGAACGCACCGCCACGATGCGCTGGGGTGTCGAACTAGGTAAAACCTACTTCACCACCACAACGCCGCTGTTTAACGTCATCGTCCGGCGCGCCTACGGGGTAGCCGGGGGACTGATGCTCGGGGCCCGGGACCCCGTCATGCAGGTCGCATGGCCGTCCGGACAGTGGGGCTCTCTACCTCTGGAGGGCGGCATTGAGGTCGCGCATCGCCAGGAGCTCCGCGAAGCCGAGCAGAGCGGCAACAAGGCGGCGCGGTATCGCGAACTCGAAGAGGAATACCGGCGGTTGATGAACCCGGTGCGCACGGCCAATGCGTTTGGAGTGGAGGAGATCATCGACCCCAAGGATACGCGGAGGGTGTGTTGCGCGTGGGCGCGTCATGTCTATGCGGTGTTGATGGCGGAGCGGCTGGCTGAGCGGGCGGCGGGGAGGATCCGGCCGGTTTTTGCTTGATTGGGGCCGACGGTGTTGAGTTGAGGCCGCGGAGATGTTTCTCGCGTGCAGTGGGAAGTGGAGTGTGGATGTTGTCTAAGCCTTACGGCCCCGAGCAATAGTGGGTACAGTGGAGTTTCGCGTACGCTGTCCGACTCCCTCTCTGCCTCCAACCGTTGTCTCCGTGTTGATTGTCCAGTCACCATTAGACTCTCAGGAGATGTCGGACATTGGTGCCTTCTTGGTAGCTCGTGCTTAGAGGTAGTAGTTTCTCTAATTACACGCCGGCTCAACCACAGCCTAATACTAGATATCTAATGGAGTACCAGCTTCCACAGCCGTGACCCCGGGGGGACCAAGCGCTATTGCGATAGTCCATCTCGGCTAACGACTGCGCCCTTGACAGCGCCAATCAAAGTGGGGAGGTATACATTGAGACGGTCCTCAGCCCAATTAGCACGAGACTAGTCTAGCGACTACTGCCCCCTTTCCGACTGGTCCACGGATAACGACCCCGGTCTCATGCAGCCCGTAAAGCTTGTATTTATATCCAGGTTGCATCGCTCATCCCTGCATGAAATACTGCCAGCCTAGTGACATCAGCCCCTCACCTAGTCAAGAGTCGAATATACCGATCAAGCAAAATGCCCACAGCTATAACCGCGACCAGGGGGAGCTTGCACAATATCCCCTTCTTACATTTAAGCCATATCGACCCCATCAACCCCCAAATCTATCCCGCAAGGATAGTCCGCCTCCAGACCCCAGATCACAGCACCGTGCTTCGAGGTGCGTTTACCTCTACCCCATCCTTACCTAATCCAATTCAATCTACTGCCCCAATACCCTTGTGTGATAACACCCTACTAACACAGTGATGAATAGAGAATCCATATCCTCAAGCCCTAACTCTCACCATCCCCTCTACAAAGAACCAAGACCAAGACTTCGATACAAAGAACCACAACCAACCCCGCTCTACAGAATACCAGCCTCCCTCTACGAATAAGCAAGACCAAGACCCCTCTACAAAACACCAAGATAAACTGGTCAGGTCCAGGCAACTCCTCTCGCGAAGAAAAGGCGGAGGAGGCACGCATGCCGAAAGTTCTTCGTCTTCTTCGTCTTCGTCTTCGTCTAAGGGGACCAAGAAAGGGAAGTCCTCGTTCGTGAGCACTGGGTGTCATGTTAGCTCGGCGGGCCGGCGGGGTAGGGTTGCGGTTGGGGGCTGGGGGGTGGTTGGGTTGGTTGGGTTGGGGGTTATTCTTGGGGTTTGATTTATGCCTCTGGGGGATTTTGAAGTTTGCTATTGATCGTGGGGGTTTGTTCATGGGGTATTGACATGGAGTATTGCTGATGGAGAGGGGTTGCTCTTGAATGGTTTGGGATGGGTGGAAGGGTGATTGGATTCCATGGTCTGGATAGGGTCCCCGGTCAATTGTACTACTACCGCTATGAGCCATGTTTATGGCTGATGCTACCTGCGTATTATAGCACTATCTGACAGACTCCCGCTGGCGCATGGAAACCTTCACATAAAAGTCCAGCGGCTTCACGAACCACTTATTATCCGTCTCCCAAGTGCGCTTCTCCAGCTGGAAGTCGAAGTCCCGGACGATCTGCGGAATCAGCTTGGACATCTCCAGGATGGAGATGTGTTTGCCCAGGCACGTGCGCGAGCCCAACCCGAACTACCCTGCTTGTCAGTTCTGTTGATTGTAATCGAAAAAAGAGAGCGAAGCTTACAGGCATATACATCTCGTTCATCGTCTGCAACCGCGCCGGATCCCCGCTCTCGGCCTCCAGCCACCGCTCCGGCCGGAAGCGCTGCGCGTCAGGGAACACCCCCTCGTCGTAATGCGCGACCCAGATGTTGACGCCCACCACCGAGCCCTCCGGGAAGAAATACCCGCTGATCGTCGCCCCGCCCGCCGGCACCTCGCGCCACAGCGGCAGCCCCGTCGCCGCGTGCATGCGGATCGCCTCCTTCATCACCGCCTGCAGGTATGGCATCGCCTGGCTCTCCTTAAAGGTTATTTGCGGTTGCTGCTGCTGCTGCTGCGCGGTGAAGTCGTCGACCTCGTGTCGCAGCCGCGCCCATGTCGCCGGGTTGCGCAGGAGGTGGTACAGGATCGCTGACAGGCTGATCGCTGTCGTGTCCGAGCCTGCGATCACGTTCGAGTTGCCCATCATGAACAGGTGGTAGTCTGTCACTTTCTCTGGGTCTTTGTCGCGCGCCAGCGCCATCTTCTCCATGAAGTCTTGCGTCTTGAGTGGTGTCGTCGGGTTGTCTTGCGGCTGCGGCTGCGTCTTGCGCGTCTCGTTCAGCTGCCGGATCTTCTCGGCCACGAACCGCATGACGAAGGATCGGCCCGCGGGACCCGAGGAGGTGAACCGGCTGAGTGGCTCGTAGAGCCGTGGGTGCCATTCCGGGTAGATCCCTACCAGCGTGCCGTAGGCCATGACTTTTTGCAAAGCCGCCATTGCGCCTTCGATGTCGTCGCCGCGATCCAGGAAGCCTGTTTCATTGCAGCGTTAGCTTGGTGACCTGGTAGGAGGTGGTTCGCTAGGGGTGGGCTTACCGAAGCGCTGGCCGAACGTGATATCCCCGATCACGTCGAAGGCGTAGCATTGGAGCCAGTGGTGGAGGTCGAAGGTCTGGCCGCTCTGCGCGAACTCCGTGAGCCGTTGGCGGAAGATGTCGGCGCATTGGTCGACGAATTCCTCGTAGTGGAGGAGCGAGCTCATCGAGTAGAGGCTGGAGAATCGCTTGCGGGTTTCGGCTGCGGAGCGTCAGCAGGATGACTTTGGTACTAGAACAAGGGCAGTGCGCACCGTGTCTTTTGATGTTGCGGTCTGGGAACAACGTCCACCGATCGGGAGACGGATGCTTCCAGCCCTCGTACCACGCTGACTTGGGGAACCGGCTCCCCGTGCCGTACACTGTCTTCACGGCTGCCCGGTCACTGATGCTGTACTGACCGGGCGCGATCCGGACGACTGGTCCGTAGCGCGCATGCAGCTCCAGGTTGTCGGCCTCAAAGTGGCCTTTCCAGACGCGGGTGAAGTACCATAGCCGGGTGAAGCGGGCGAGGAATGGGCCGGGGATGGACAGCAGAGAGGGGCTTTTCCATGTTGTGTAGAGCAGTTGGAGGATACTTTTCGTGAGGTAGAGTATAACGGGGAGGGCGAGAAGGATGAGTAAATGCATCGTGAGCTTGTCCTAAGACAGAACTCAGGAATGATGATCAATTTCGGTGTTGAGGATTCTCACGGGGAAATCCATCGTCATATTTATAGACCGCGAGCAGAACAGACTCGGCTAATTTAGTCAGGACTAAATTGGTGCTGACGCCGAGATCATTCAATGCTTGACGAGTGGCACATCTGGATCTATGATCGTTCAACGAATGAGATAGCTGTGATAGATAGTTAAAAGGGTCCATGAGAAGGCAACGTTGAAGCTCAATGACGATCGTGAGACCCCGCATTGTTGGCGGTGCGGGGGAACCCCGATTGTCGGCCAGCTTATGTCCGAAACTGGCGGCATAGCCTGTCCTTATGCTTCTGCTTCCTTCCCGAGGTCGGCTCCACCTTGCCGGTGCCCGGCTTATCCAGATGCAGTTCTGCACAGACAGTCACCCCCTTCCTCCTTGATCATGTTTTACTGGCAACGATTACTTGGTAAATGTCGGTAGAATCGCCGGCAATCAAATTAAACCCTAACCTTGACTCCGTACCCAATTTCAGCCTTTATACATACATGGTTAACGTCATCAGAAGCATCACAGACAGTCACCTCACAATCCCCCACGCAACAACAAAAGGAAACACACGCCAAGAAACAAGAATAGAGAGGAGTTGTTGTCATCGCAGCGAATGTTCTCCGCATCCAACCACCTTTCTAACCAGACGAACACCCACGGACGATTGTCCAACAGACTAACTACTCAAGACCGACGATCCCCCCAGAGGCCGACGATGCCCATGGCCAAGGCCAGCCCGGAGAACACCGCGCGCACCCGCTGCAGACGGCGCTCCGTGTCCATCTCGGTCTGCACGCTCTCGCCGTTCTCCTCCGCCTCGACCACCACCAGATCCTCCTCCTTCTTCTGCGGCTTGGCGGCCGCCTTGGTCCAGAACCCGGTGTCGTGCAGCACGGCCTCAAACCACGCCTTCACACCCGCCTGCCGGTTGAACCAGAAGTCCATGCCGTAGGTGCCGATGGTCGACGCAACGCACATCCAGATCAGGTAGGGGTGTTTGCGGTGCCGCGGAGAGATGCTGTACGCGAACAGGAGGCAGCCATTGGCCAGGTTGGTCAGCCGGATGCCGTGCTTGCGATTCAGACGCTTGATCTCGTTCAGCGATCGCGCGGCGGTCGCTGAGGTGGGCAGTTGGGCTAGCGCCGGGATGGCGATGGTCGATGCCGAGTACGAGATGCCCTGTTGTGATCGCATTGTGTCAGTTTGGCCAATGATCGATGATTGGGTGCATATGGCGTATGGGTTTTAGGAATGGAAGTGAAGGGGGTGGGTGGTTGTGGGATTTGATGCTGGAAGTGGAATGCGATGGTCGCATTGGACATACTGTGAGCAGGCCGAGGGAGACGGTTCCCACGAACTTGGAGACGGTGATGGGACAGGCCATGTTGATTCAGGGCCGGTGGATAATTGTATGGTCACAGAGCAGAGCTTATCAAAGTGATGGAGTTGGCTTGTATGAGGGTGGATGTGTGATTCGGATGGACAAGGAAAAAACAATGACGGGCGATGGAAAAGTGACGTTGCGGGTCGAGCGGATGGTGGCCTTGGCGGCCTGAGGCTGAAACCCCACCGACCAATCCAGTCCAATGGGTTAGTACTACACATTGTAGACAATGCCAAGACTCGCTCATCGATCAATACTACCAGGTCTGACACAATCTTACCATTGATAAGTGTCGTTCCCGCTCCGGATGAGGTCAGAATAGGCTGGATGCGCGTATCCTGCAGTTCCATGTTGTGAAAATGTTGATTTATCAGCAGTCTTGCCCGAGTTCCACTTTCGAACTATAAAAGCTACAGTATGAGTACCACGAGAACCTGCACTGATAGAGTCTCCACTTTACTACCAATTCCCATACACACACAGTACTCTCGCTCTACGTTCTTCAACTCGACAGTTAACTTTCAGAGCCGCTGCACTTTCCGTTATGGCAATTCCTGAGAGTTACCAGGCATTCCGCCGCACAGAGGGCACCGCGCCCTTGACCATCGAGCAGGTCACAGAACAGCTCCCACCCATCCAGTCGCATGATGTCCTAGTCCGCATCCATGCGGTCTCACTCAACTACCGAGACATTGCCATGCTGGACGGCACCTATCCCCAGCCCTGTCTTCCACGTGGTATTCCTGCCTCGGATTGCGCCGCTGAAGTTGTCTCCGTGGGTCCCGAGGTCAATGGTTTCAAGCCGGGAGACCGTGTAACGACCATCTGGGACTTGACCAACTTGACCGGCCTTGAGGAGGGGTCTCCAGAAGCTCTTGGTGGAGATGTCGATGGTGTCCTGCGTCAGTATGCAGTGTTCAAGGACCAAGTGCTGGTGCATCTACCCGAGCACTTATCCTGGGAAGAGGTAAGCCTCGTGAAGCAGAAATACAGGCCGAACGAGTCCTAACCCTAGGGCAGGCCTCATGTATCACTTGCGCCGGAACCACGGCCTGGAATGCTCTTGACTTCCCTAGGGCCAGCGGCACAGCCCTGCTTCAAGGTACCCCTCTTACGGTGTAGGATGGCCGCGGAAACATGCTGAGTACTGAATCCCTTAGGCACCGGTGGTGTGAGCATGTTCGCACTTCTTCTCTGTCTTGCAGCGGGCGTTCAGCCCATCATTACGTCCTCGTCCGATGAGAAACTCAACCAAGCTCGGTCCCTGGGCCCCGCCGTCAAGACCATCAACTACAAGAAGACAGCTAAGTGGGAAGACCAGGTGCTCCGCCTAACGAACGGCCGCGGTGCCGATGTAGCCATCGAGAATGTCGGCCCTGCTACTGTGAAACAGAGTATCGACTCCCTCGCCCAGCGGGGTACACTGTCCTTGGTCGGATTCCTCGGTGGGCTCGACGCTGAGAAGTTCCCCGATCTCTATTTTCCTGTCCTTGTCAAAAGACTGACAATGAGGTTTGTTTGATCCCGTGCTGCAATCTTTGAGATTAGGTTCTGACGTAACGATCTACTAGGGGGATTATTGTGGGCTCCAAGATCGATCAGCAGGCTTTGTGTGACTTCCTGGCGGAGAAGAAAGTTTCTCTGAAGCCGCTCATTGACGCGGTCTTCCCCTTTGAAAAGTCCGAGGAGGCTTTCGCTCACCTCAAATCTGGCAAGCACCAGGGGAAGATTGTCATTACTCTGTGAGCGAGGGCTGTTGTGAGTGAATTGTCTCGAGCATACAGGAAGTTAAAGGCTTAAGTTGTATCGACAGTCACTTTCTAGTTTGGAAACTATTTGGCGTTGTCTAGACCGGATTCGAAGGGGTAATAGTATATAGCCAGGCAAGCTTTACTATATCAATCCATTTATTTTAACACAGCTTAGATGCGACAACATCTAGAATCGGGGTGAATCCTTTTCAAAAGCGAGAGTCAGTCACCTGATGTTTGGTGGCTACCACTCCGGGGCAGTTGCCTGCCTCCTCCTCCGGGCACCATTCTTCTACTTCGCCCCTCCAATCCTCCCTCTTCCACTTCTCCGGCCTCCCCTATTCAAACCTACCATTCATATTCCTCTTCATCGTCATCCTTCCATTCTCCCACGTCCACAACGGACGGTGTTGACGGTCGCGAAATGCCCGCTGCGACAGATTGGTCGGAGATCACCTGCAGCGCCGATAGGTACTGAGAAGACAAGGTGATATGCTGCTTCACATCCACCTGCTGCCGCAGTCGCCTCGTGCTTTGGTCTGCGTTGGTCATCAACACCTTGAACCGGGCTCGAAGCGAATCATCCTGCACGATGGTATGTAAATACTCGATGACCGTCGTCAGCACCTGGAAACTCCGGTACAAATCTTTGTCGAAGCAACAGACCGCGTCGAGGATGCAGTAAACTGTAGTCTCGGATGGGAACTGGCGGACCAGTTGGTGCAACAATATACAAAGGCTGTACAACTCGTGTTCCTCGAGCTGCTTGACGAAGCTTCTCGAATTGAGAAAATCCATACTCAAGAGATCTCGCCGATGTAAGATCATCAAGAGCTGGCAGATGAGCGATCGCAATAACCCGTTCGGCCCGGCCCAATAATCCTTCAAGGACGCTGTGCAGTGCAGCCCGCAGAAAAAGTGCGTTACGACCTCCTCCGGTCGCACTTCGGCCATGCTCAGGACAAATGTTGCACAGAAGAGGGATATTGGAGAGACATTGTCAAGTGCAAAGGCTCGAAGGTTGGCATCAACGAGAAGCAGATCCGGGTGTTCCTGATTCATCCACTGCAGGAATCGGGCATCTTGCAATATAGACTGCGCCTGGCTCTGCACCTGAACCCCAAACATCGCTTTCTTCCCCAAAACAATCTCCAGATCATCATTGGGCTGCCCAAACGCTGCACCATAATCAAGCGATTGGTTCTCATTTGGGAATGATTGACATGATTGACTTGATGGTGATTGAACCAGGACTTCCAACAACCGAGCGAAAGATATCACTGCCGGCGAGCTTCGATCTCTGCGAGAACACCCTTCAGTTTCGGCAACAAAGAGACGTTGTTGGAGCTGTAGATTCAAGCTTCTCTCTTCTACAAATTGAACAAGATTAGTATCTGAATTGTCTGGACCCACGACCAAGACACTTACTCCTCCAATCCTCAAGCAAGAACTGCAACATCTGGTTTCTGGCATCTTGGCTGTTGCCCATCATCTGTGACTGGGTCTCTATGAAATGGGTCAACCTCTCCTCCTCTCTCTGGATCAATTGAATGATTTCGAGGTGTCTTTTCCCTCCATCTTCCACTCCTGCCTTGACTTCTCTAATATCAATCGAAACGCTTTCTATTCCGTTTTTGACGACCTGAACATCTGCGCTAATTCCGCGGGTGTTGATTTCTGTTTGTTTCTGATCCCAACGCATTACCCCCACCTCGCGATAAGTGTCTCTAGAATATCGCTCGATTGTTTCGATATGCGCATCTCTACACCTGGCAACAGCGACTTGGAATAGTCGCACACTTTCTTTCACGCGCTGTAATGCCTGCTCTGGAGGCTCTTCATGCCTCCGAATTTTTGAATTTGAGGTTATCCGAAAACCTCCTGTTCCCTTTGATATGCGCTCACGACCCAGAAAATGTCTAGATGGTAAAGAGCATAATAGACTCTCTATCGCATCGACAACTGCAAAATAGAGATCCTTGGCGCTTTTGCTCACGTTTGGGTCTGTGTGAAAGCTTTGACGTTTGCCTTTCACATCTACGATCACAGTTTGGATCTCTTGGAAGGTGGTGAGTATCCTTTGCCTTGTTTCAGCAGACTTGGCTGCCAACTGCCACGAGCGGTCAGCCGAGCACAGTACAGCTTAGGTTTTGCGAAAGACTGACATTCAATACGACCGCGATTCCTGATTTCACGACAGCTAGCCCGTAGCTGTCGGGAATGAGGTTGATCCATGGATCAATCATCTCCCGATTTTCGCCAACCTTCAGCCATACCTTGGCGAAGATTGCACGCGCGCCATTTCCTTCTTTCCACTCTTTTTCGGTTTCAGTTACCTTGTCGAATATCGCGTCCCATGAACACTCAGCCGGGTTGATACCCAGAACAGATTGAACGTGGTCTTTCAGAATGCCTTCGAGATTACTATGTTGAAGTGTAAGTCAGCAATGAGCCTTAGCCCTGTTATGCATAGGCATCAGGTTGACAGAATAGGTTGCTGTTGGCAGAAGAGGTAGTATTGGTTTCCCCAATTAGTAGCCCCTTGGGCGTACGTCCACCAGAGATCCCAACACCAGCATTTTCCGGGAGGGTGCAGTCCGACTCGATCTCAAATGTAATCAGAAAGGGAATACGGACATGTATGGCTTTGGGCTGTCAAACTGAGCTCGCTGGTCATCGAACTCCGACCAGCCTCCGAGCCCTTGGTGTACTTTCACCCCCTCCTCGCTGATGAATCTGGCTGTCGTTGCAGCTGGCATGCCAGCAGTGCTGCAATTCTTTGATGCCATACGCGGTTCAGAATCTCCCGGGTAGACAATCATGAGCTGAAGAAGCAGTGATACGTATACTCCTCAGTTTTAGTGCTAACCTCACACAGGAAGCAATGATAAATTCTGTGAATGTTAACAGAAACGTGACCAGAAAGATGAGAAGGATTTAACAGAATTTGCAGCTCGATTACAAACCTTTCGTGGCCCCAGTCCTCTAATGAAGGAGGGGAACTGCAGTGGAACATCACAAGCCGGCTCTTGGCCGTCTGATCCTTTCCGGTACAGCCACGAGTAAGACGAACTCTGCTGGTCAGTCGACCGACGAATCCGGGTTGCAGTCGCAATTGGTCTTTAGGGCTATGTCTGCCAATTTCCAAAATCTATTGGATGGAGATTATTTCAGCGACAGGGTCTGGAGACGTGAGTTGCACTAGAAAGACGCCAACGCAGGAAGGCGGGGGAAAATGCTGCCAGCCTTGCCGTCAGTTTGCTCCAGGTTGCGCTTGGCCAACTTAAATGCACTTTTAAGAGGCGCAGTCTCACGCACCTCGTATTTCCTCACAACAATAAATTCTTCACATCCAGATTCTTCGCACCATCTCGCTCAAGGTCGGTCGTGAGTGTACACATGCCCCGGAAATCATCGTTCTACAGTCCTGATTCTGTTGCCGACAGATGGAGGCTACTCTTGTGTCTGAGAAGCCTGTGCCGCTCAACTTGTTTGCAAACGATGAAACTGTCATGAGGTTCAAGGATGACCTTAGAGAAGAGACTGTCGGGGTTCGAGAAGTCTCTGACAAACAGGATGATATTGTAGAGCCCAATCGCGCTGTACCAGCGCCACAAAACGACAACAGCAATTGGGCGCAGGACCCTACGTATGAGACAGCAGAGGCACCAGGTTCGACGCATACTATCGCGCCAGACGATCACACAAGAAACACTGAGAAAACCGACGATATCGGGGCGTTTCCAGACCAAGATGACTGGCAGAACAGAATCAAAAGCTTGCCACGAATTCCTGCTGTCAGGATGATGAACTTCGACCAATTCAAGAACCGCCATGGACTGGAGAATGGCATTCATATTATCGAGGTTCTCCGAGCTGGTTCAGGCACGAAGAACGAAATCAATAACTCGCAGCTTGAACCCACCAGAGGGACAAAGAATCATACCGCGGAAGACCCTGATCTCAACGGAACCTGGATTCAGCGGGTTCGAATTCAGTCAGAACCTATCATGCGCTATGTTCAATATGTCGCAGGGGCCAGTGGCTTGGACGTCACCCGACCATGGACTTTCTTTCGGCCGTTCCATTTCTTTATCATCTTTCGTTCAAAGTTGAAGGAAGAACTCGAGAACTTGGAACGGACATGGGCCTATGCCGAGAGGTTGGATTCTTCTGGCCTCAAGCAAACGGCGACAGCGGAAACTAAAGCGAGGGAAACGGCGCCGGTTCAAGACAAGAAGAGTGACCCTGATGCCGACGACAATAAGCAACCAGAGATGGATCCCACTGGGCCCGAAATGAGCAGCATCACTGCCTTGAGACATATGAGGTGTTTTGTGGAGTTCATCGACAGAGAGATATACCCCATATTTGAGCGCTACAGGGGAACCTCCCAGCAAAAGGTCCGCTTCGGTGATCTTTGGTTGCTCCTCAAGTATAACGAGATGCTTTACTCTCCTCCCGAGGGCGAAGAGTATCAAAATTCAAGCCAGCCCATGTCACCAAAAGCGAAGTCAATGAGTCAAACAGTGTGGAAGCTCTGTGGAGAATGGATCCCCACCCCGAAAGATGGACACCCCCACGACTTGGGAGAGGATTCCCAGGAATATCAAGCGACATGCTATTACATCGACCATGACGGTGAGTCATATGGAGCCGTTAAACATGTCTTCAAGATCCAGTACTTCGAAGGCGAGAAAGATATCACTTCTCTGCCCGTATACCCGCTGCGTTTTGCCAAAGACGCTGAACAGATCTTTTCCAGGCTCAAAGCACAGGGCGAAAGATTTCAGTCATTGATTAACGAGAGACACCTTCGCTATGAGGGATGGACGGTCATCTACAGTCCTACGGGGAAGTTGGAGACGGACTTCAAGACACCCGAGCACATTGAGAGTGAAGTGATCATTGACTTGGCCGAGGGTTACCAGCGATACCCGGCATGTAAACCTGAATTTGTCAGGTATTATCTCGATACGGACTTTTGGTCCCTGGGAGAAGACAATATCGAAATTAAGCATTGGTCTGATGCAAAACGGACGATGTTGCTACAGGCCACCAAGGAAAAGTTGGTTCTGGCAGACCCCTCATTCAACCGGAATTACAATAATTGGCTAAAAGGCCAGCCGTCGTTTCAGATAGGTCTGGAAAGAGAGCTCACTCAAGTGACAGGAGAAGACCTTGCACTTTTCCCGCGGCGATTGATGGCGTATGTGTTACGGGAGAGAAAGTTCGTAATGGTAGACATCGGGTCGCTGCAGCCAGTGATGGCGCATACAAATGCTTTTCGAGATCTGAAAATCAAGCCCAGCCACAAGCGCACCGTGATGTCACTCGTCCAGGCGCATTTCAAGCGGGAAGAATGGCGAAAGAAACACCCGCGAGTCGAACTCAACCAAGATCTCATTCCGGGCAAAGGCAGCGGTTTGATTATCCTGCTACACGGTGCCCCTGGCGTGGGCAAAACGGCTACTGCGGAAACAGTTGCTCAGGCCGCCAAAAGGCCACTCTTTGCCATCACCTGCGGCGATTTGGGACTGACCCCGAGTGAGGTTGAAGAGGCGCTCAGTAACATCACCCGCCTGGCCCACCTCTGGGGCTGTGTGCTACTCCTGGATGAGGCGGACATATTTCTGTCTCGAAGAGGTATAACCGATTTCAAACGGAATGCTCTTGTCTCAGGTAGGTCAGATATCAAGTGGGAAAGGTAACTTTGCTGACCGATTGTACACCAGTCTTTCTCCGTGTGCTCGAATATTACAGCGGTATTCTCTTCCTCACTACCAACAGAGTTGGGTCGATCGACGAAGCATTCAAGTCTCGCATTCACATGAGCTTGTACTATGAGCCTTTAAAACGGACTCAGACTCTGGCCATCTTCCAGACCAACATTGACCGACTTAAGAGAATCGAACTCAAGAGACAGGAGCAGGCTCGGGTCGAAAACTGGAAAGAGCCACCGTTGACTATCAATGAAGAGGGCATTCTAGACTATGCCGGATGGTATTACGATTCCTTCCCAGAAGCGCGCTGGAATGGACGGCAGATCCGCAATGCTTTCCAAGTCGCATTTTCTCTCGCTCAGTACGACACAAGGAGAAGCTCACTGGATAGCTGGGGAGAGAGTGCAGAACCGGAGGATGAGGAGGCATCCGCCGGCCCAACCCTGGATTGGATCCAGTTCGAGCGGGTCGCCGAGGCGATCGACCAGTTTGATATCTACTTGCAGGAAGCGACGGGAGTCACGGACCTAGACGCTGCGCGGGTCGACCGCGTCCGGGCTGACGACTTCGACTACCGCCGAACCGCACCTCGACCGCGATATCAGCCCGCACGACTGACCAGCGAGAGACCCGTCGAGATCCAGTTTGCTCGACCTGACGCCTTTCGCCCCAATCCTCGTTCCAACCCACCTCGGCGTCTCGCTCCAGGTCGAGGAAATCCTGCAAGCCATAAGCACATGGCCAGCCACGGAGGCCTGTACGAGCTGAGTCGACGGCGCTATCAGCCGGGTCAGGGCGCTTCTGCAGGTCTCGCACCGCGCTGGCCTCAAGGCCGAAGCGGCAATTCGGTTCCGGCGGACTGGGATGACGAAGCCTCTATCTACGCGGATGACGCGCAGATGTTGGACGATGCTGATTATAAGGAGGCCTCGTATGCGCGTGAAGATGATTTTGACGATGAGGACAGGTATTAAGCGATCATTGGATAGACGGGTAGAGCCATGAATGTAATGTATGGACTAGATTATGGTGCCTTCGGTTGGCTCCCCCAGTTGATTCCTTCGGTCCTTCGAGGATGAAAGGAAATAAATTTCTAAGAAACTTGTTTCCGAAACCAAGGAATACATTAAAGGCCTGTTCAAGCGCCTCTAGACACTCATCTCTCAGGAAAACAACACCATCTCAAGTAAACGTGCCTCCCAAAGTAGCTGCTTTTCCGAGTGCACACATCCCCAAGCAACCACTTCTCAAGCATATGAAGTTCTTGACAGGCCACAGGGATCTTGATCCAGACCCACGGCTTGTATCCTCGTCTCAATGGACGAAAAAGAGTAAGACACCCCCGTGTAAGTGGTCCAGCAACGACGCCAAGTGCGGAGGAAAATACTTAATTCCGGCCCAGATAAAAGGATAAAAGCCACGTTACAGAACAAATTTGCCAAGAACCACGCGATCCAATCAGCAAGCGTCCGCGTATCACCAATCCACGCGTCATCCACATGTGCATAGAGATTATGCTAGGGGCTAGAACGAACGGCGTCTGGCGGATTAGAGTTGCGGCTGAGCTGAGGTTCTGAGTTTATTCCGACGTGTGGGTTTTTTTTTTAAGGTGTTGGGCAGCGGGACCACCCTTCCCGGGGTTTGATTGTATTTATATAGATAATAAGTTTTCGGTTGTACACACCCCGATTTGGGGTCATTATGAAATGGGATGAGGATGGTTTTTGTTTGGGAACTGTGATCTGCAGGGAGGGTAGTTAGTTATGAGCTGCAGTGGTGTACTACCGGTAGTTACGCGACTGCGATAGTGCATACCTATCCGAGTTATTCCTGTCTGAGGTCAGCTGGGCCCAGATGGAGTGCGCATGGTAAGTGTATACACCTAGTTATCAGGGAAAGAACTTCGCTGTGTTCGAAGTGTCGTCAGTTGGTAGGTCTGAGCGTCGGGAGTGGCTGGCTTGGGGCTTCGTTCTCTAAAAAGTGAGAACTTTAAGGTCGTTCTTAGGGAAGCATTGTGGTAGGCTAGTGCTGCGAGGCTGTACTAGGAGAGTATGGTATCGATACTCATACACCTCCGCTGTGAGCCTTCAGATTCGCTGTGCACCTACACTTTCTAGGTCTTGAGGCCCATGTCGACTGGCTTGGTTGATCTCGGTTCAGGGATCTGAAGATCCATCGTACCCGTCATGTAATGAGGTAAAGATGACCAGTTGATACTTCCTGAGGTCGGGCGTTGATGGGAAGCACGAGTGGATGGAAAACCTTGTCGCAGTGCTGTCTTGACGGGACAATGATTCGAGACTTAGGTTGGTATACGTGAGATTCTGGATTCTAGAACGGATCTCTTTTGCGCTACTATTGATACAAAACATATGTCCCCTTGAATGGTATACGTGCTAGCTGGATTTGATGCTAGTCCACTTCACTGGCGATGCCTTACAAGCCACAATACGCAAGTATAGCCACAATGTCGCTCAGCCATATATACATGCCTATGCCTATGCCTACCCTGGAAAGTACCATGATCGTACAACCATATACAAGATCCTACCATTAACCCGCCCCTCTCCAATTACTTCTATCGGCCTCCGCCGTCGAATATCAGCTCTTGTTTACACCAAGCACGGTGAAATCACGCATCTGCTTGCGATGGCCCCGTAAGCTCTAAAACGTCCGTGTCTCCACTGCCATAACCGTGGAATCAAAGCTTCGATGTCTTCTGCCCCTTGACATTAGGAACAGCGTCTCCCGAAAGCAGGAAGTCCGGGTATTGGAAGGCACCCTGTGCTGCTCCCCCGGCTGTCATGCGCCACGAGGCCCCATCGACTAACCCACCGTGTCAGTTCCTCTTCTCGCGGATGACCAATTTAGTCGAGAAGAAACACTTACCAACAAGGGTCTGCCCGCTGACATAACTGCCTGTATCGGCAAACAGGTACACGGTGGCATCGGCAATGTCGCGCACGGAGCCCATCCGCCCGAGTGGCTGGGACTTGATGTAGGCCTCCTTGTTATCGGTCGGCAGTAGACGATCCATGCCCTACAGTCCACAAATTAGCCGAGATCTTATGCAGACAGCAACACCTATGCCAAGGGAAAGAGCCAGGTTACATACCTCGGTCGCTCCGATGGGCCCCGGGGCGATGATGTTCGAGGTCACGCCCAATGGACCAAACTCAATGGCCGCACTATGCGATAGAGCATCGACACCCGCCTTGGCCACCGAGACGTGCGTCTGGAATGGCATCGTCCGATAGTGGATGGTGGCGCTGACGAAGATGATTCGACCGCCCGTACCCAGCGGCGATGGCTTGACTGCACAGACCAACGTCAGCACACGCTGGCTCTAATCAACACGAATCCGAGACTCACGAGTATTGGGGTCCACGCGGTGCTTCTTAGCCGACTCGACCAGATACGGCAGCGTCGCTTTCAGGGTATTGTAAGACCCGAGGACATCGATATCGATGACCGACTTGAACGCATTGGGCGACAGCTGGTTGATCGAAGCCAGGAAGTTCCCAGCGGCGCCCGCACTTCAGGTTCCATCCCGGCTCTTGGTTAGCAAGGCACAACAAGCATGCAGGACGTAAAAACAGTCTATCCATGCTTACATCACATAGTCAATCCCACCCAGCTCCTTGACGCAGCGCTCAGCCGCGTCCTTCAGGCTGTCGGCCTTGCGCACGTCCACGGCCCCGATGCCGATGACCTTGGCGCCCGGACGAGCGGTCGCGATGTCTTGGGCTACCGTCTCGGTCTTCTCCACGTTGCGGCCGATGATGCAGGCATTGGCGCCGAGATGGACCAGGGCACGGACTTGCGCACTGCAGATGGTGCCAGCGCCTCCCGTGCAGAAGACGACCTTATTCGCTGCCAAGAAGGGTCGGGGTTGATTAGACACTGTCAGCCTGCATGGGATTAATCAGACTTGGACATACCGAAGATGCCATCTTTCCAGGAATCACTGAGGTATTCTTCTTTCGGTAAAGGCATTGTGGGCGAGATGGAACTTCTTGAGACCGGTCTATGAGTGTTGGGAAAGGAGTGATATGAAGGAGGGGATGCTGGTGGATTGTTGCCTCCCCCCCCGTAAGCGAACGCAAAGCCGCGGTTGAAACGGGATTCGGGAACCTCGGCTTGGTTTGGCCGCACGGACTGCATCGATCGCCATTCCGCATTCCGCATTCCGCTAGTCTCGGTTGGTGATAGTTGAGTCTCTACAAATCGACAATCTGATCACCTCCAGCGATGAGAGTGACTCGGATGAATCTTCAAAAAGTGATAAGGAGAGTGGCACCGCTCGGGTCATTGCTGCGGTTATGGCGCACTCGTCCATCTGCTTCTACCATTGGTGACTCCATTCATCAAAGCACACCAGCCACTTTGCGCAAACGACCTGAAGTCCCATCTGCGAGTCTCCCCTGTAATCCCAGGGCTGGGAGTCCATGATGGACAGCCTAGCCGTATACTTTGATGGAGGAGATCCAGGAAATTCCGGAATTCCAGCTAACAGATGTTACCTACTTCCGTAATGTCCATCCGCATGAGGTGTACGAAAACCAGATTGACAACCAGACATTCCTTCACAAGACAAGCCCCAGGACTTCTCGGGGTCAATTTGGACTTCCTGGTCTGTTGTTAATGTATACCCCACCTACTACTCTAGTGATATTGTGGTAAAGGAGGGACCCCATCATCGAAGTCACGGAACGCCGAAAATCGTTCGAACAAATCCATCTTAAGACACTATTTCACCCATGAGCACGGGTGTTATTGGGGCGATAGCAAACCCCGCAAATATCTTGATCGATGAAATTGGGGATGTCTGGCGGGTAGATTTTGCTGGCGGCGCCAATCCGGAATTTGTCTTTGAGGGCTTGTACGGTACACCCGAAGGGGACTTGGAAGGGCTGGCTAGCATCACTGCTGGGTTCGCAATTTGTTGTCGTTATTTATGGGAACATCGTTGATTCACTTGCGCGGAGCTATAGAGTTACCTATTTAGAGGTGCTGGTGGGTAAGTATGAATGCTTGAGCTGCAAGATATAGTCACCACCGCTCCTTCAGGTCCAATGTCTCATCGCGTGCGGAGCGTCAGTAGACTGCTCAATGGTCGGCCTTTTCGTCGCGCCCATCTCTCGGCACAGTTTTGTCTTCCCTTGTCTCGAGAACATCCTTTCTTAAGTTGATACCCCGTCATTCAGAAAATCGCTACGTTTCCCACCCTCTCATTGTTTCTCACGCTGGGGATGCCATGTATCGAAGCAGGAATGGGAAGAGGCGCGCTAAAGAGGAGAAGGAGAGCGAATGCGTCGATACAATCTGGGAATTGATGGGGCTTATTGGGGCCCTCAAATGGGCTCGATCGAAAGGAGCCGCCGGCCAAGCTGAAATCGAGTCAATGGGAATGCCATCTTTACTGACTGCATGGGGCCGAACTGTGGGAAGATCTGCCATTGCCGACGACCCGGTGGTCGAGATTGTGACTACGAGCGCTGCGAGACTGCGGAACCTGGTGAACCTCGTCGAAAGATGATATGCACTTATGGTCAGCAATCGGCCCAGCATGAGTGGTGAGACAGACATTTGAGTTTGTAAAAGGGCAAGCAAACGAACGGAGGGCGTACGGTCGGGAGAATGGTGGAGCGGACACTCGTGATGATAATGAGGAGGATGATGAGGAGGAGAGAAGGGGGCAGTCGCCGATGTCTGTTCTGCGACCAATGTTGACAAGATGAGAGAATGCGGAGCTGTTGTTCCAGAGAAGGACATTGAAGAGAAGTTTTCCACGAGACTCGCTCTGTTGTTGCTGTTGTCACTCCCTTGCATCTCTTTGCGTGCTGTACGCACCATGCGATCATGCCAAATCCATCCTGTCCCTCCCGAAGCCCACTACATGATCGGTCACGTCACTGTAGATGTACAGTACATACAGTCCTCCCGGGCAAGGGGGTGATAACACAGTCTCTTACACTTCCTCAATGACAACAAGTTTCCGCTAAGCGCAGACTGCTCGCACAAGATTGTCAGCCCCTCGGAGAGACTTGAGCGAGATGGGCCTCCGGTTTGCCCAGTTCACTCCATCAAGCTTGGTAGTCGTGCCTTTCCAGGCCCATTGAGCTCACAGAGCCGCACGGGCCGCAATGCAGCTGACATTTCGATAAGGGAACTTTGTCTGTGTTGGCTGACGTCCAGCGATTTGCCCTCAAGGACCACTCCGAGGTGACACCTGAAGGGTCGGACAGAAACCATGCCTACGTGTCCATCCTCCATTTCCCCACACTCCACAGACACAGAACTCACAGCGGCCGACCTGCTCAGTCAGAACGGGGAAACCCCTGATTCTCCGACAACTGCACCCATCGGACGGCGGACAGGTATCGAGCCTAAGAACTCAAAAGCTCAGAGCGCGGGTCGTACTCCCGTCGAGCGATGGATGCGCAGAGCATTCTCCTAATCAGGATACCGATCTCCAGGGTCTCTGTGGTACGGATCCTGGCTTTAATCCCGGCACACGTGAAGAGATAAGGTACTATGTTTCCGCTGCTCGGAAGCGTGGGTCATTGGTAGAATGAGATGTCAGTCGTACGAGTAGGTCCGTGTGCAGGTAGAGATCGACATGGGCTGGACCGAACCCGTTGCTTTTTCTTCCTCCCCATCTTGTTCAGCCACCGCTATCGCTCCCAACCCGTTTTTGCCCAACCTGTGCGACAAGACGTTTGCACCTACACCTCCTTTCTTCTGTCCAGCGCTGTCCCGTGTCGGTGATGCATTACGTATGATCCTCTGTTGTGCAGCATCTTCAGCGTTGGCTGTCAACTCATACACCCGTGACGTGATGATTTTACCCGGGGGCTTATCTGATGCAGCCCTAACTGGAGCCTCCCGCAGCTACGCATCGGGCCCCGGACCTGGCGGGGGAGGAGCAGAAATCGACCAGCCTCTCCTTGGCAACGAACTTTGACGTAGTCGATTGAGGAGTGCGGATGCCGTCTGGTTATTACTCTCTCATTACCCGCGATAACAGAAAGTTAAAAAAAAAAGAAATAAGATACAAAAGGCCAACCACAATACGAACGACGAGGCCTTGGACCAGCCCAGGCTTGGTCGCGCGCATCTTGGCGGGACGAACACTTGGACAACTGCCTTAGATCGTGAGACCCGGCTATACGCACTAGTAAAGTTAGAAAATGACTCCAATACGGGCCCCTAGGTTGGAAAGGCTGAGTTCATCAAATGGTGATCCTGCCGGTGCTTCGTTCCATAGCTGTTGCCGCAGAACCAGAGCGCCGGGTCTCCCTCAATTCACTGCCTGCAGGGTAGTTAGTAGGGTGCAGGCTCTGTGACTGGCACATTTGCTTTTCCCTTGCGGGTTGTAAACCAGGCTGCTCTTCGCCAACACGAAAATACCGCTTTGTCCGAGAAGCTTCCGGAGGAGAGAGGCGGGCTGTGGAACGGAGAGAGAGAAGTACGTGTGTGTATGTGGCTGAGACAACCAATCTCCCGGAACGAGTGTAGGAAGCAAATCACAGCACAGGAGCGACGGTCGCACGATAATTGTTTATACCCCCCTCCATCTTCCCTAGCTACGAGGATCATGTTTTTTGTACTTTACAACCGGGACCCCTACCGCCGATCTGCCGCGTCGTCCCTCAAATCCCTCAGCCCAAGCTGCTGTGGGGAGGAGCCCGTGGCAATGAGATCAGCTACATCAGTCCGCCGGCGAGAAGAAGGGCGGGGGGGGTCTTGACCCTAATCAGCCAGGCCTGGGAACGACATCCGATTCGCAAAGATTGAGCGCATTCAGAAGGATTCAATAGCTTCCCCTGCCAGAACCAGATTTTTCTCTCAATGCCAGTAGTTGTTACCACTACCATCGCTGGCAGTGAAGGCCCTGAACCTATCCACCTCATGCGCCACCAACCCAGCACGGGCCAGAGTAAAATCTAATACGATAACTTCGTTTCCAGGAAGGGGGAGAAGAAGGAGAAAAGGGGGAGTCATTCACGCTCTACAGAATGAGAAGGATCAGGTCTTTTTCCCTTAGATAGAAGAAATAAGATCGATTGATTTAGGGGGAAGAGTGATGGGAGTGGAAACACCCGATACTGCAACTATCTGCTGTCTCAACTGATTTAGAGCTCAAGTAGGTAGTACTGTAGTGCAACAAATGGAGTGTATCTCACACCTTGATGTCGAATTCAGTACAAACCAAAATGGAGGGACAGTCACTCGGCCGGGGATATGACATCAATCGTAGCGGGCAGTAGCTTGATTGCAGTGCAGTGCAGTGTAGTGGGATACTTACACTTACTAATTAGAGAAGAAGAAAAAAGCGGCGAGACCCGGCCTAAACCTCATTGAACAGCGTACAACCGGCGTGAGAAGGCTCGCTTTGCTATACAGGATAGCAAGTACTCTCGATTCATGGCTATATTTATATCCACCAACAAAGTGAATCCCTTGTAGGTCTCGGCTCCATGCCTCCACAGATCGATGAAATGAAGCTGTCTACTCAACTGATAACCACTAGAAAAAACCGCTGCGGTAACTCTCCAGCCACGGCACTGCGACTTTACAGATAATTACCAGCGCGCCGATCACGTAGGAACCCATGCCAAAATTCGCATCTAGTACATCTCGCCCCTTCGCCGCCCAAATGATGATGGCAATCGATATCGCCACAACCGTGCCGAAGGCTAACACCAAGAAGAAGCCCCAGTTCAATTCCTCATGGACAAGGATACCCCATCCGTTGAGGCTCTTGCCTTGGTTCGGAACCAAACTTCCCATCGAGCTTTGTGGGAATCCTTTCTATCCAATACTTTCCAGTGTGCTTCAAATCATGCAGCAAATCGATTTTGGCGGCCTCAACATCCATTTCGGATGGCTCGTAATTGTATCTCCCTGCGTCTACCTCGGCGGCAGGGGGGACTCCTTTCTTGATGTATGCTGGCTTATGGCCTGATAGTACGGGTACATACTCAAACTGCAAGAATTGTAAGTTTCAGGGGTTTGGCTGTTGTATGCCGTGAATGCAGAGAACGGTTTATATACACCTGAACAAAATGTACAACTGCGAGATGAAAGAAAAGGTATCTTGGGAGTTTGAGAATCAAGGCCTTTGACTTCCATTTGTCGCGCAGTGTCTTAAAGAATTCTCCAGTTTGATCATTACACTCCGGGATTTCAATCTGCTCCAGGATGGGTGTGGTTTTCTGTTTCATGCAGACTAGCACGTGCTGACGCGCCTGCTTTGGTGGTTCGCTAGTTGTTGTGCCAGATGTGCTGCTAGGAGCTTGAACTGGAGGTGTAGCTTGAACCGATTCGGGCGGGGATGGCCGTGCTTGAGAAGTCCAGGACTGTTGAACTTCTCCGTTCACACTCTGGCCTGAGTAATATATTGGTAGAATCCCAGTGTTACCGCCCGCTGCCAGCTCGGTCACCTTCTCAGTCCCTGTGCCATCGACCTCGGTGATCTCATTATCATCATCGATATCGCTTGCAGAACAGAGTCTTCAGAAGCCGTTACCAACGGCCGGCGTTCGGCAACATCTACGATCCATAGCATGTCAGCACAAATCGACAGCAGTGGCAACGGCAGCCACTTACCTAGCAATATAGTCGGCTTGCTCTCGCAAAGTTCAACTACCCGAGAGACGTCCTCAGGAGTTTCCTCACAGTTGTTGTCCTGGCTGCTTCGCACCCACTCTTCCCAATTGTGGGACAGGAGAAGAAACTCGTCTGATGTTGCCTGAGATCCTTCCGTCTTGGTTGGAGTGTAGTCGCTGTTAGCGGCCCACTTAGACGTTTTCGCACCGATGCGCCTGACAGATGAGATATGTGAACGCCTCACATCCTCTGGAGTCCGGCAGCCAATATCAACTGGTTCCCACTCTGCGTGGGCGGGTTTCCTATCTCTGTCTTCGGTCATCTCCGACGTTGTGCCTTGGGGTTGCTGTGTCAATTTGAATTTTCTCCGGAAGCGATGAGCCATTCTGAATAGCAGATTACCTCGGGGCTAGGGACAGGTTAATCAACAGTAAGGATGAATCTGGTAGCTGGATTCAGAGTCTATTTGGAGAGGGAAGGTGAATGGGGGTTGAGGTGGGTGAAGAACAGAAGGGGGAGAAGAGGAAGAGAGAAGAGGTGAGGGAGACAGACTGAGGTCCGCATGTCTCAAATCACGCCAAGAAACCTGGTCGTGTTTAAACTCTTGAAAGCAATACAGTTCAATACGAAGGACGATCTGCATCCAGAAAAAGGGTCGATTCTACATCAATACTCTATTGCCAGTTCATTCTGTGTTAGCGGATGGGGCCATCAGTTCCCATCTTCTCCATCCTGCTCCTCCGCCCAGGACCAGTCATCATACTCTTCCTCCTCCTTCTTCTTCTCCTGCGAATATTCCTCTGCCGGGAGTGCGAAAGCCGAGCGGCTATCATAACAGTCTCCCAGGGCACAACATCTTAGTAGCCATTCTGAGGACAATGGAAAAAGCGAAGAATCCAAATCCACTCAGCGGTGCTCCTGAAGCAACTCTTGTGCGTAGATCCACACCCCTTCCATGTGAGTACGCTCGAACGCGAGGTCAAATGCATCCATTCCCCAGATGTCAACATATTCCTGGAAAGAAGCTTTATCCCGGGAGAGATCGCAGCGGAGAACTCGTCCGTGGAAGGATTCGACATAACCACTGACCGCGTGTTCTACAACCCCCTCGTCCTCGTTGCTGAAGAAGCCGAGTAAGGCCGGGGAGCTGGGCCTCGGGGCCGCAGATAGCCAGAGATACTTGATCAATCCGGTCTTATTCAGGCCGGAGATATCAACCTCCTTAACGGATCGAGGCGATGTTTTCCTGTGGCGGTGAAGCAGCCTTGCCACTCGAGCCACCTCCACCAGGCCTTGAAGAGTTCCTGGTCCGGCCGACCTCTCTGGAATTCCCTCGTAGCCGTGAGGACATACTCGATCACCAGAGAGATCACACAAAATCGGTGTGTTGGCGAACCAAATGATTGGTGCGTGTAGCACTTTTCTTGCTTCATCAAAAACATACACGTGATCAGCCTGCTTATCTCTGGAGTGGGAGCCTCCTGGGCCAACCAGAGGAGATACAGCAGAAGAATTTTATTGATGCCGCTGATATCGATCGTCTCAGTAGTAGCCATCTTGGATGTCACGGTGCAAACCAGATTAAGTCTGTGCTGATACGGTCGAAGTTCGTGTGTTGAACTTGATACTGAAGTGGTGTATTTATAGGCCATGCCGGAGTTTTGTGACACTCTTGATGTCAACGAGGCTGGGCTATCTAACGTGAAATCTTTAACATGAACAAAGGTGAAGGTCTGTCACGAAGATGCAACTGCGGAGAGAGTTGAACGAACTGGAAGAAGGGACATTGTGCAGACAGTACCAGTATCCATCAAGACTTGGTTCGCTGGTGTGGTTGTTATTGTTGGAGTTGTTGTCTTTGATCTCTGTTCTGTTGTTTGGAGTTGTTTTGTCTGTATGATTCCCGAGTCATTATCTTTTGTCTCTGTTTTCCCCCTTTCATACTCTTATTCGAGTTCTATCAGTTGGTATGAACAATGAACAATGAACAATATCCTAGTACTTGTTAGTATGTAGTTTTTAGTTACGGCAGATCTCTGCTGACGTTGCTCGGCCAGCACAATAAAGGGATAGCTGAGATAAGCAACCTGGGAAGCATGATCTATGCCACACAATGCCAGGTCACGTGGTATGGCTGAGTGCCCGCGAAGGTACGTGCCTCAGGCTGTGCCTCAGTGCAGTGCAGCGCAGCCTGGGGAGCTCCAGGCTGCCAGTGAGTGGATGTGGTGCAGTGCCAGTGCCAGCGCCACAGGTGATTCGTCAGCTATGCCGGAACAGGACTAGCGGCCCAAGACCAATGCGTCATCAGTCCCATCCGTCCACCAATCAATCCTGTTCCACCAACTGCCCCCAGGTATCCACCGCCATTGCTCAGGCTCTCAGGCTCTCGGCCCCTCCTGAGTCGTTGAGTCCCGGCGGCAATTCATCCAGCCTTAGTTATTAGTGTCTACATCTAACTAACTACCTACTACCACACCACCTTCTTCCTCTTCGTTTTGTTCTTCATCTCTCTCTCTCTCTCACATAACTTTTTCACTTCTTGACATCTCTCATATCTGTACTGATCCACTCGTCGCATTCGAATTCACTTTCGATCCCCCCGCCACCCCAACCTACCCCCATCCGCTCCTTTCCATCTCTATGTGCACATACATGCGTTAAACCTTTTCCTCATATCCACCATGCAGCTTCGCTCGTACTTCGTAGGGGCTGCTCTTGCCCTCGGCGCCAAAGCCTTGCTGGTTATCCCCGAAATTCAGGGCGAGTCTATCGCCCCCGATATCGATTTGCCTCCCTTCCACCCTCTGGAGGTCTATGCCCCTCAGCAGTCGCAAGTTGAGCTTGCCTGCACCGAATGTCCCTTCCGGGAAGTCAGTGAGGACGGAGCAGTCAGCTGGACTGATGGCCACAAGACCTCTCTCGTAAGTGACCACACTCCGTTCGATCTTTAGCTCGCAGGCGCTAAGGTCATGTTCGCCATAGACACTCGACTTCACCATCGAGAACGGCTTCCTCCTGGCCAACGGTCGTCAGATCTTCCCTCCTCCCCCTCCGACTCTGATCACCGCTGTCCAGCGCCGACTTTCCGATGGCCAGGAATCCGAGCCTATCGCTGTCGGATATGCCGTCGAGGAAATGCCTATCCCGACTTTTCCGGACGACCCGAGGGATCTCGTCGAAGTTCGATTCACTGTTCTCGACCTGGACAGTCACCCGGTTCCCCTCGACACTGTGGCCTTGACTCTTATCCACGATGCCCACACCGGCGACTTGTTCATGGCGAAGACCGAGATTGAAGAGACCACCCCCGATCGCGGCTCCTGGGCCCAATGTCGGGGCAAGCCCAAGTGCCTCCGCAAGCTTCTCTTCGACCGCATGCGCTCCTTGTTCGCCGCGGCCAAGGCCCGTATGCTCGACTTCGCTTCCCAGCCCAAGGGCTATCATTGTGGTGGTACCCATGGCTTCGATCACGACCATCCCCCTCACCCTCAGCATCACCACGGTGAGCACGATCACGGAAAGCTCGACCCCGAGGGATTCCCGGGAGGATTCCCTCCCTTCCCTCCGCTGGACGGGAAGGGCCATCACGACTTCAAGGGCCACATGAGCAAGTTTGACGGGCCTCATGGTCATCACATGCACAACCATCACCATGACCGTTTGGCCCATGCTCTGCACCGCGTGGTTCGCTTCATCGTCGTCCCCGCTCTCCTCGGTGTCTTGGCTGGCTTGGCCGCGAGCGCGCTTGGAATGTTGGTCGGTCAGATCGTCGTCTTCATGTGGCAGCGTCACCGCCGCTCTGCTCCCAGGCAGTCTGTCGAGCAGGGCACCGTTTTCGAAAAGCAGGGTCTCATGGTGGAGACCTCTGACGATTGCCCTCCTGCTTACAATGACGAAGAAGCCGTGCTGAAGGATGTCTCTGACAAGCACTGATCGCTGGATGAAGTATCGGCTGGAACAACCTTAGCCGGGCTAGGACGATTGAAATCTCGTTTCTCACTTGGCCCCGGTGTATTAGCTGGAGAAGGACTCTAGCAAGTTCTAGCATAGATCGGTGTCGGCAAGTCCTTGGCTGTGGTTCTTCGTTCGTAATTGATATAGCCTCGTTCTACTTTTCCTTTGCTTCCTCCGTCTCTATTTTTCCTTTAGCCGTGACTTCGTGCTTTTCTCCGATCTGCTAAGAGCAGGTTTGGAGTATGAAAATGTTAGTCTTTAGGGTAACATCTATCACCCTTGTGTTCTAGGCACCGTAGGCATGGGCCGTGAGGATGACTCTTTCAACCTTGCAGTAGTTAGCGAAATATAATCGATATTATTTTTTTTTCTCTGCCTCACTTCTTTCTATGTTGCGCTGGATGCGCGCCACGTGACTATGGACCGGAAGGCTGCCAGGAACGATCGCCGCAGCCGTTCCCCTCTTCTTCTTCCTCCTCCTCCTCCTCCTCCTCAGTTCGAGTCCTCCTGTCGCTCACAGTTGGATCTCTCTTATACGGATCATGCTGCGTTAACTCAGGCCATGATCTTTTCTTTTTCTTTGCCTAAATGATTACCTCCTACGTTTCCTTGTGTCTCACTCTCCCCGTCCTGCTCGCCGTTTGAGCTCCAGCCGATCCCGCATCCGCCCGGTCGTCAGCCAGCCTTGAACTCTGGCCTCCGGCGCGTTCGGAGACGTTTCCTTTCTCTTTCTTGATTCACTATCACCTCACGGAGCCTGTGTCGCTCTCCACTGACAGAAGGATGCAGTGGACGTCATTCGTTCAGAAGGCCCAGTCTTTCATCGACCCGGCCAATTTCACCCTACCAACGCTCACTTCCTCCGATCGCAACCCGTCGAAGGCCTCCTTGTTTCGCCAACAATTCCGACTGCCCGACTCTCAGAACCCACTCCAGGAGATCACAGCGGAACTGATCCTTCCTCTCCCCCACATATCCCCCTCCGGGGATGGTCCTCGAAATCTCGACCACGCCGGCAACCGATATGCCGGGCGACTCCACCTCAGTGAGCGGTTTCTCTGCTTCTCCACCCAGGCCACAAGTTTCGCTCCTTCCTCCAGTCTTCCGGCCTCAACACATTGGGCCGGACAAACCAATGGGACAGGCCCATCTGGCAATGGGTTCACCATCCCGCTGTGCTGCATCCGGCGCGTGGAGCGGCTGAACAGCCTCGGCCATGTCTTTTCTCTCGCCTTGACGACTTGGAATGGCGCGCTAGGCAAACAACAACCCCCGGGCTTCACCCCGCAGAGATTCACCATCCAGCTGGCTGGAAGCAGGCAGGCCTGCGAGCGGTTCTGCGACGGGCTGAAGAAGGGACTGCGGGAGGGCATGAAGGAAATCGAAAATTTGCGCATTATCGTCAATGACTGCTATTCGGAGTACCTGCTTTCCGGCGCCAAGGGCAAGGCTTCAGAGGGCGATGCCTCGGAAGTGCGGCAGCCGCCCGATGCTGGGCTGGGGATGATCTTCCGCTATCCCGGCGATGCTCGCAAACTTCGAGACCGCAGTAAAATGCGATTGTGGGGGGAATACTTTCGAGGTATGACTCCTTTCCCCGTATGAAAACAAGAAGCTGGGTTGGGAGCCCGTATGCTGAGTATGATCTTGGTAGAAAATGGTCGTAACGCGACTCTTATCCGTCAGCCTACCTTCCACAAGTTGATCCGAGTGGGTCTACCCAACCGCCTCCGCGGTGAAGTTTGGGAGGTCACTTCGGGTTCCTTATACCTCCGGTTGCGGTCACCGAAACTATACACGGATACGTTGTCCAAGTTTTCGGGACAAGAGTCCCTGGCGATCGATGAGATCGAGAAAGACTTGAACCGCAGTTTGCCGGAGTATGCCGGCTTCCAGAGTGAAGAAGGTATCGGGCGCCTGCGACGAGTCCTTACGGCCTACAGCTGGATCAATGCGGAAATCGGATATTGTCAGGCGATGAATATCGTGGTCGCGGCTCTTCTAATGTATGCGACCTTGCCGTATCACATATATTCCTGCGGCTGTGTGCTGACTATCGCAGATACATGTCCGAAGCTCAAGCTTTCTTTTTGCTCTCTGTACTCTGCGATCGGCTGTTACCAGGCTACTACTCGACCACCATGTACGGTACCTTGCTCGACCAGAAAGTCTTCGAGTCTCTGGTCGAAAAGACTATGCCTGTGCTCTGGGAACATTTGACCAAATCCGACGTTCAACTCTCTGTGGTCTCTCTTCCTTGGTTCCTGTCGCTTTATATCAACTCAATGCCTCTGGTGTTCGCTTTCCGTGTCTTGGACGTCTTCTTTCTGGAGGGACCCAAGGTTCTGTTCCAGGTCGGTCTGGCTATTCTTCGGATCAACGGCGAGGAACTTTTGGATATCCAGGATGATGGGTCTTTCATCTCTGTTCTCAAGTCGTATTTCTCCCGCCTGGATGAGTCGGCCCATCCAAGATCTGAGAACCCCAAGCTCCGCGCGATAACCAGATTTCAGGAGCTGATGGTCGTCGCCTTCAAGGAGTTCTCTCAAATCACCCACCAGACAATCATCGAGCAACGAGAAAAGCACAAAGACGCTGTGCTGGAGAACATCGAAAGTTTCGCCAAACGCACTTCCATCCGCAATCTGGGTCCGGACAGCAAGAAGCTCAGCATGGACGACCTTGGTGCCATCTATGACCGTTACTACGAAGTCCTGTATGACAACCAACAAAGGCAGAAGCTGATGGAGGAAGAGAGAAGACGTCAGGAAAAGAAACGAGTCGAAAGAACTTCCATTCTCGGGCCTCCCGTTGATCGAGAGGTTGGCCGTGTCGGTCTCGGTCCTAGTCCGACCCATATGGATTATGATGCTTTCCGAGAGTTCCTGGCTGTCACGGCGAAGTGGGCAGTTTCGGACTCGCCGCGTAAGGATTCAAGTAGCGAGCAGGGCTCCAACAGCTTCCGAGGCTGGGGCAAGGCAGCGTCGTGGAACAACAAGAATCAACCCACCGATCACGAGTTCATGCAACGGCTGTACCGGAAATGGGCGACTGATCCCGAAGAAGGTATTAGCTTGCAGAACGTTGTCAACGGTCTTGCTCGGTTGAAGGGCCCGCGTGACATCATGAATAACATCCAGTATTTCTTTGATCTATACGACGATGAGGGAAACGGCACGGTCGATAGAGAAGGCATTCTCCGCATGTCTGAGGCCCTTCTATTCCTCTCGAGACGCGGCTTTGAAGGCACCATTACGCCTACGCAGTCGGTCGACGATCTCCGAGCGATCGATCGAGCCCGCTACGAAGATAAGCTGAGCACCGATGAAAGATTCCTGGGGAGCGTCAGTTCCTTCATCCGGCGTTGTTTCGAGTATGCCGACCCCAGTAATCCCGGGAGCAAGGCAGCAGCAGAGGCCCAGCAGGATGCCGATGAGGCTGCGGACAAACTGGGGTCTTTCAGCATCGGTGATGACGAGGAGGAGGACCTGATCGATGTGGATAGCGATACCAAGTCCGATCATTCAGCGGTAATGGAAAAGCCCTCTCAACTCGATCCGGGAGAAAAGCACGACCCAGAACAGAACCGTACCATTTCTGAGAGCGCCAATCCGGCCCTTGACCCCAACAATCCTCTACACATCACTCTTCCCACGTTCCGCATGGTCATTCTAGCTGACGAGCTCTTGGAACAATTTTTCGACTCCTATTTTCCCCAGTCATTTCACCTGTCGGACCATGGCTCATACGCAGCGACCGCCACCTCCCTTTCGTCGAATCTCACGACCTTCTCCAACATCAACGCTCCCAAGCCCCTGAGTAGTACCATGTCCGCTCCCTCTGTTGGAGGCGCATCAGGTGGTATCGTGCCTCCCGGGCGAGGTCTCCGCGGCGTTCTGGACAATATTGTGTCGGATGGAATCCGCATGGCCGCCGAAGTCAAGAAGCGCATGGACGAAGCTCAGCGCGAACTGGAACGAAACGCCCTCGGCCGGGGCGAGGAGGAGGACGAGGAAGACGAAGAGGAGTACGATGGCCGCAGCGGTCCTACTTCGGCCCCGACCATCGTCGGGGGCATATCCAGCTGGGGCGCGGGCGCATACGGCGCCGACCCGGACCGCCGTAGCGTCCGGGACGCTGATCGGGATCTTCTCGAGGGCGCCGAAGTTGTCAGCATGCGCGGCAAAGACGAAGCCTCTCTTCTTGACGATAAGGACGGCCACCCAGCCAACGCCCCTGCAGAAGCCGCAGCACCGGTCCCCGACAACGTGGTCAGCAAAGTTGAATTTGAATCATAGGAAATAGATCTCATCTGAGCTTTCATACCCGCTCAGTCATCACCATTCTTATCCTAACCTGTCTTGTCTCCACCCAGCTAATCTAATCTACATACCCTTTCGGCTCTCACATCATCTTTCTTCGTCCCATTCTCCGTGCTACCCTTGCATCTCTCATTGCGTCTACCTCTGAATTTCTCCAAAGATCTCGAAAGATAAGAAAGTACCCCGCTACTCCAAGACCCACCGGGGCCGGTCATGGAGGACAAACCCCTATACCTCAAATACAGTTCTCTCTCCATCTTGTCTCAACCGCATGGTCTCCGCAAGAATCAGATTACGTCCTGTATCTATTCACACTATGTATGTCTGTATGCCCGTATGCATGTGTGTATGTATGTATGTACAGTCCAGTACTGTACCCAGAAAGCCTCCCGCTTTTCCTTCCCGCTTTCCTCCCACACCCTCACGCTGGAAATAGTATACATCATATATTTGCCTTGGGAGTTACTACTTACTATGCGCCCAGGTGTTCATGGGATAGCTGTAAACAGAGGTCCTCGCATCCAACAACATCCTTCCTCCCTCGCCTCGTCTCCCACACAAGCAGCCAGCTATCTCGAGGCTGTGATTCTCTTCCCGCGTCGACCCCCGGAGTTTCCCGTGATTCCGCTTGTCTTTCTTCTTCTGGACCATTGAGACCGAGCTGGTTGGTGTGAGTTCCTCAAGTCAGTGGCATTGAGGTTTTCTATAAGCTGGGTGGGTGCATCGGTGCTGTTTGTGTATGTACTGCACATATCTAGTCTATTTTTTGTGGTTCATTGCAGTGCCCGGGATAGAAGGGCCAGTCCGGGCACGGACGGGACACGCGCTAGACTTATCCGGTTTGTTTCACTTGGAAATTCATGTTCGTGGTACGTGGTAGGTGTTGATGGCGTTATCGTGGTTGTTGGGTGGGGGTGTTTGGGGGGGCGCGGGGGGTGGAAAGGAGAAGAGAAGGGTGATTTCAATATCGGATTCGCATTCACGCGCTAGATGTATGTGCTGTACTCTCAGCTTCTGGGATATCTACGGTATCATCCCGATAACGGACTGATATCTTGTAATATGTGACATTCCTACTTGTTATCCTGAGGCGCGGATGGTTCTCTAGGGTAGGCAGATACGGGGTGCGGGTCTCGTGTCATGTCGTGTTGTGAGTGTAGTTGAGTGTATCTTCCGGACAGGGGCCGCAAACTAGAGACCATGTCCGGCTTCATTCATCAGACCCGGCCTCCATCAATGGATTTCCCGTTTGCTTGGACCGGATGTCTATAGTCTGTACTGATAGCTGGGTGCAGTACTATACAAGTGTGGATAGTATAGTAGCTGCCAGTGGCGGGTCGGGGCAAATTCGTCTTATTCGGAAGTGGGGGTTCAACGTTCGGCGGGTTTGCGGATAGTGTAAGGGTTCAACTGTATTACCTAATGTATAATATCCGGGATGGAATTGTACCTTGGTGTGTACACAGGTCACACAACCGTAGTTTATGGCTCATGTGAGTTGTTCAGAATTTCACGTGACGCTAAGCCACTTAGTAAGCAGGAATAAACCACACGACCTTATAAATTATTATAAAATAATTATGAATTTCATAGTTCTAGTATATAAAGGGATTAATACCATATTTGTTACTAAGTTAATAAACCTTAACCACCCTAATTTAAAAAAGTATATAAGGTATTTCCTAATATATTTACCCTAATGCTAAGACCTTCAGCCTTAAAATCCTAATGCAATTACCCTAATGTAGATACTTTAATATAAATAAGTACTTGCTAAGTATTCGATGACACGGTTAGCAGGGCGCTGAAAACAGCCCTTATTAAACCGTCCATCTACCGTATTCCACCGCCTGCCCTATACTAAAGTCTTACTAGCCCTTACAGCCTAGTATATCCGCTTTAGGGATCACACCCCTGTTCTTACTACTTTTGTATCTATCACCTACTGCCTTAAATCTTCTACTTAATCTATATAACCCTGTCTGTCCTCTTTTAAAAGATGATATACTTTTTTATCCTCTTTCTTCTACTGCCTGCCTTACTCCCAGCTTACTACCTTCTCTTATAATACTATATTATCTAAATATTATTTTTTTCTAGTATAGCACTGTCTGTATTTTTTCTTTTCTCTTTTTATCTAGTATTAGAGTTACTAACAGCTTGAATTATTAATAATTATTATTTTATTAATATCTCAGCTATCTATTTCTTATTTATTTATTGTTGTACAATACCCGGGGTAGCTGTATCCAGTACCTCCAGCCTCTACTAATTTGATGGACTTTTAATCTGTTTATTTATATTATTTATAGCTAACTTCTTCTTCTTAGAGTGGCTAACGGCCAGGTCAGGTCAGGTTAATCAAAATTTTTATACCTGACCGCAGGTTAATGGTCAGGTATAAGAAATATATATTCCTACCCAGGTTAACCAACGGTTAACCTGCGGGTCAAATTTCTCGGCAACCAAGCCTATTTAAGAAGGCGGTATAGAACAGCAGAATATTCCTGCCTGATTCCTGCCTGATTCCTGCCTGATTCTGCCTGATTTCTGCCTAATTTGGCCTAGTTTCTGCCTGATTCTGCCTGATTCAGGTATAACAGTTAACCGCGGTTAACTGTTATACCTGCGGTTAATCTGATTTTCATACCTTAACCTGACCGCCAGGTTAAGGTCAGGTTAAGGTTAAGGTATAACGGTCAGGTTAAGCCACTCTACTTCTTCTTTATCAATATATATAGCTAGACTATTATATCTTAAAAAAGATTAGATTTCTAAGAATTAGTTTTAAAATAAATAGTTAATTATTTTTTTACTTAATTTTTAGCTTTTTACTTTGTTATAGTAGATATTAATAATTTCTAATTTTTTTTAAATTATCTAAGAGAAGTATTATATCTTCTATTAAATTATTTATAAATATAGAGTAAGATAGTTTTACTATTTTTATTAAAGAAGTTATTTCTATAGTAAAAGTAGTAAATAAGATTAAAGTTATTATTTAAAAACTAGAATATTTTAAGTATTTAAAGAAGTAGCTTTACTCTTTTTAAATTTAAATATAATATTATTAAAATATTATTAAATTAGTTTTATTAATATACAAGTTCTATCTTATTAATTAGAAGAAAAAAAAGAGAATTAAATTGAAAAAATTTTTATTTTTATTCTTTAATTTAGCCTACAACAGCGGATAGAGTAGATTTATAACTAGAGTAGCTAACAGCCAGGTCAGGTTAATGGTAACAGTTAAAAAATACAGCTAGCAGTTAAAGTATTTTATAAGAATTAATAATTATAAAAATATCTTATAAATAAATCTATTATAAGTTAAATATATATATTATAAATTAAATCTATTTTTAATATATTATAAATCTAATATAATAAAATACTAGATAATTAAAAATTATTATAAAAAAAATCTAGAACTAACTAATTATATATTAAATATAGCTTTGCTATACTATACTATAATATAAATATAATATATATATAAATAATATATATCTATTAGATTCTAACTTAAAACTAAGGATATACAGATTTTAATTAGTCTAAATATATTTTTTAATATTTAGTTTTTAACCTGTTTTTTAACTGTTAGCCACTCTATTTATAACTTAAAATATATCTTTAAGAAGATATCTTAAAAGTATAAAATTAAGTATCAGAAAATCCTGGTTATAGTAGCTAATCTTAATTTTATATATAAATAAAGATAATATTAATATATTAATAAAAAACTATTAGACTAGTAGCAGAAAATAAAAAGATTATAAGTTTATTTTATTTAATAAATCTTTTCTCTTATTTAAAATTAGACTGGCTAACAGCTAAAAAAACAGGTTAAAAACTGAATATTAAAAAATATATTTAGACTAATTAGAATCTATATATATATATACTTATTTCTAACTTAAAATCTAATATATATATATATAATATTTAAATTATAATCTAGTATAGCTAAGCTATATTTAATATATAATTAATTAATTTTAGATTTTTTTATAATAGTTTTTAATTATCTAATATTTTATTATATTAGATATATAATATATTAAAAATAAATCTAGTTTATAATATATATATTTAATTTATAATAGATTTATTTATAAAGTATTTTTATAATTATTAATTCTTATAAAATACTTTAATTATTAATTATATTTTTTAATTATTATTATTAACTTAATCTAGTTATTAACTACTCTATTCTAGACCCTAGAAAAAATAGATAAAAATATTTTGTAAGAATCTTATTATAAAGTTAAAACTTAAAAGAAACTTTATTATTTAAATTTATAAATAGAGTAGCTAATAACTAGATTATATTAATAATAATAATTAAAAAATATAGTTAATAATTAAAGTATTTTATAAGAATTAATAATTATAAAAATATTTTATAAATAAATCTATTATAAGCTAAATATATATATTATAAACTAGATTTATTTTTAATATATTATATATCTAATATAATAAAATACTAGATAATTAAAACTTATTATAAAAAAAATCTAAAATTAATTAATTATATCTTAAATACAGCTTAGCTGTACTAGATTATAATATAGATAATATATATATATATATAATATCTATTAGGTTTTAAGTTAGAAATAAGTATATTATAAAGGGAAAAGGTCAGCTAGGTATAGAATCAAAGTACTGGTATTATATAGATATAGACTAATTCTTACTTTCCTAGTATATAATAAAATCTAGATATTTAAAATATAGATTTTACTAAATTATTAATATTATAATTATTTTATAACTAGATATAAATATTCTATTATAATAATTATTTAATTATATAAATTAATTATAATAATTTAGTTTTTTTTAATAGTAACTGTTCTTAGTTATAAAATAATAATATAATATTATTATTTTAATAATTAAATTAATTATTTTTATAAATATAATAACTAATAATAGAAAATAATAATATTAATTTAAATTAAATTAATATATTCTAAATAATACTTTTCTATTTTAGAAATATAATATTATTTTTATTATATTAATAATAGTTTTTTTATATATATTTTTTTATTTTATTAATATCAGGATTTTCTAGATTTTATTATTTTTTTTATTATAAAATATTTATTTTTAAACTATTTTTATTAGTAAATATTTATTAAAATATATATAAATATTATCTTATATTCTTTATTACTTAATAATATTAAAAAATTAATAAATAAATATAAAATCTATTATTTATTATAATAATTATATATATAAATTACTATTTCTTATTTATAATATTTCTTAATCTAAAGATATTATTCTATTTAAAATATCTTAAAATCTTAATAAAATAGTTTAATATAAAAATAAATAAATTATTTAAATCTAATTATTATTTTAATACAGTATCAAATATAAAATATTATTAATATATTATAAAAAAGATTAATTATATTATTATAGATTTTTCTATATTAAATAAAAGAATCTAATTAATTATATTATAGATTATAATTAAAATATTTAAAAATATTAAAAAATTAGTAATAATTCTTAAATAATTTAGTTTTTTTAATATAATAATAATAAAAAATAGAATTTTATTATCTATAAATTATATAATTTTATTATATATTCTTTTACTATAATATTTATAGATATAAAATATATTTATTATTCTAAATATATACTAATAATAATTATTAAAAAAATTATAATTATAAGTATTTATTATAATTAAATTAAATCTTATTATATTTTTAATCTTTAAATTAGAATTAAT